CTGACTGTGCCCTGGTGGCATGTCCCTTTAGATAAAAAGTCAAGTATAGCATTCAGTGCTATTTTAGTGTGGCCGCATCCATCAAATTATTAAGCAAAGAGACTCCAGAGAGCCATATTTATACCACTTAAAGGCTGTATCCCAAATGGCACCCGATTCCTTATATAGTGCACTACTTTTGACTAGAGTCCTACGGGCCCTGGTCAAAAGTAGTGCACTTTATAAGGAATAGGGTGTTATTTGGGACACAGTCTAGCAATGTCTCTGACTTGAAGCAATTGAAACACAGTAACAATATAGGGCAGTTTAACCTTTGTAGCTTTAGCTAACAGTTGTCCAAATTGAAATAGCACATCCTTTGTCCGCTATAGATTTAATTTGAAGAGTAGTAGCATTTTTAAAGCTTTGTTGAGAGGTCCCTTGAAATTTTTACTTATGTCAAAGCTACATAATTTACAAAGCGATATGTCCATTCTTGTTGATTATAAACACTTATTACATAAAAAGGTGCTATGTTACTATTCTTACTAGTTCTTTTGAAATAATCTACACCTACATGACAGGCCTTATTCAAAAAGATCTTGTTAAACACAGGAAGAGGTTTAAAGAAATACAGTACTTCAATCATCAGTTGCTTACAGTAGGTTCACACTTTAAATCAAATCCAATATGTTGTTGTATGTTATCACAGTTAGTTGATGCTTTTGATACACTCTATGGCCCTGTTGAAGATTGTGAGTGGATTGTTTAATAAAGGGACCAGATGAACCTCCTCCTCCTCCTCCTCCTCCTCCTCCTTCTCCTCCTCCTCCTTCTCCTTCTCCTTCTCCTTCTCCTTCTCCTTCTCCTTCTCCTTCTCCTCCTCCTCCTCCTCCTCCTCCTCTTCCTATCTTCCTAAGCGCTCTCTCCAGCTGTTAAATGACCCACTGAGGGTGACTTTAGGGGTTACTGTTAGATTTAGACTATATTCTCCTACTGTGTTAGGCCCACTTGATGGTCTACAGGACTGGGCCTATAACACATGGTTTTGTTAATCTTATTCCAAAATAATCCATTACTGTTAGATTTAGACTATATTCTCCTATGGTTATGAAAAATGGCTGATTATCTACAGAACTACTTCTGCATCCTAACAGATGTTCTTCTTTGTCGCTTCTGTCAGGGTGATTATGAAGCTTCTAGCAGCCACAGCTGTGGTGCTCCTCCTGGTGGCGGTGGAGAGTATGGCGGCCAGAGGCACTTCCAGGAGGACCAAGAGGGAGCTGATGAGCACGCTGCATATGGGGGGCATCAGGGACCCGTTTGGGTCGTACTGCGAGCGGCGGGGTGGCTGCTGCCCGGGTCGGGACGATCAGTGTACGGTGCCCTACCTGGACACCATCTGTTACTGTGACCTGTTCTGTAACCGCACCGTCTCCGACTGCTGCCCCGACTTCTGGGGCCACTGTCTGGGCATCTCACCCCCTTTCATTGGTAAGTTAAAGGGTGTGTGTGTGTGTGGAGGGTGTGTGTGTGTGTGGTGTGTGTGGAGGGTGTGTGTGTGTGTGTGGAGGGTGTGTGTGTGTGTGTGGAGGGTGTGTGTGTGTGGAGGGTGTGTGTGTGTGTGTGGAGGGTGTGTGTGTGTGTGTGTATGGAGGGTGTGTGTGGAGGGTGTGTGTGTGTGTATGTGTGTGGAAGGTGTGTGTGTGTGGTGTGGAGGGTGGGTGTGGATGTGTGTGGGAGGGGGGGTGTGTTGTAGTGTGGAGGGTGGAGTGTGGGTGTGTGTGAGCGGTGTGTGTGGGGTGTGGGAGTGGGTGTGTTGTGGTGTGGGTGGTGGGAGGGTGGGTTTGTGTTGTGGAGGGTGGTGGGTGTGTGGTGGGGGGTGGGTGGGGTGGGTGTGTGGGTGTGGGGGTGTGTGGTGTGGGGGTGTGGGTGTGTGTGTGTGGGGGTGGTGTGTGGGTGTGGGGGTGGGTGTGTGTGGTGTTGGGGGTGGGTGTGTGGAGGGTGTGGGTGTTGGGTGTGTGTGGGGTGGGGGGTGTGTGTGTGGGTGTGTGTGGGGGTGTGTGGTGTGTGTGAGGGTTTGTGTGGGGTGTTGTGGTTGTGTGGGTGGTTGTGTGTGTTTTTGATTGTGTTGTTGTGGGTTTTTTGCTGGTTGAGGTGTGGTTGGTGTGTTGTGGTGTTTTGTTGTGTGTGTGTGGAGGGTGGGTGTGTGTGTGTGTTTGGCAGGTGGGGTTGTGTGTGGTGGCTGGGTGAGGTTGGGTGTGGGTGTGTGGGGGTTGGGGTGGTGTGTGTTGTGGGGGTGGGTGTGTGTGTGTGGGGTGGGTGGTGTGGTGTGGAGGGTGGGTGTGTGGGGTGGGTGGGGTGTTGTGGGGGGGGGTGTGTGTGGAGTGGGTGGGTGGGTGGGGGGTTTGTGTTGTGGGGGTGGTGTGTTGTTGGGGTGGTTGTGTGTGGGGGGGGGTGTGGTGTGGGGTGGGTGGTGTGTGTGGGGTGGGTGTGTGTGGGGGGGTGTGTGTGTGTGGGGGTGGGTGTGTGTGTGGGGGGTGGGTGTGTGTGTGGGGGTGGGGTGTGGGTGTGTGGCGGGTGGTGTGTGTGGGGGGGTGGTGGGTGTGGGGGTGGGTGTGTGTGGGGGGGGGGTGGGTGTGGGGGGGGGGGTGTGTGGGGGGGGGGGGGGGGGGTGGGGGTGTGGTGGGGGGGGGGTGTGGGGGGTGTGTGGGGGGGTGGTGTGTGTGTGGGGGGGGGGGTGGGGGTGTTGTGGGTGTGTGGGGGGGTGGGTGGTGTGGGGGTGTGGGTGGGGGTGGGGGGTGGTTGTGGGGGGTGGGGTGGGGGGGGGGGTGTGGGGGGGGGGGGGGGGGTGTGGGGGTGTGTGTGTGTGTGTTGTTGTGTGTGTGGTGTGGGTGTGTGTGTGGGTGGTGGTTGGGTGGGTGTGTGTGTGGAGGGTGGGTGTGTGTGTGGAGGGTGTGTGTGTGTATGGGCCTTCCATTTAGGATTAAGACAGAAAGGCCCAGTACAGTGGGAGACTACTGTAGCCAAAGGCATAATAACCCACTAACCCTAGCCCTACTGACAGGCCCCAACCTAACCCTAGCCCTACTGACATGCCCCAACCTAACCCTAGCCCTACTGACATGCCCCAACCTAACCCTAGCCCTACTGACATGCCCCAACCTAACCCTAGCCCTACTGACATGCCCCAACCTAACCCTAGCCCTACTGACATGCCCCAACCTAACCCTAGCCCTACTGACATGCCCCAACCTAACCCTAGCCCTACTGACATGCCCCAACCTAACCCTAGCCCTACTGACATGCCCCAACCTAACCCTAGCCCTACTGACATGCCCCAACCTAACCCTAGCCCTACTGACATGCCCCAACCTAACCCTATCCCCACTGACAGGCCCACACTGAGTGGCTACTATAGGACTACTGAATGAATAGCAACTACCAACTGCTAATCTTATACGCACAGGCAAAGTTATTTGTTCAGTTGTCACAGACGCTTTACAATTCGATAACGCTCTAGGTAGGAGGTCACATTGGCCTGTGAAATATGAATAAGCACACTGGTTATTATGCTCCACATCCAGTATATCTCTGCTAGTTGTTGCAGAGGTGTAAAAAGTTCCAGTGGCAGCAGGGCCGTACCTGAGAATAAACCCAGGAACAGTGGTCTTCTTATTAGTCTGAGACAGAGGGAGGGGGGAGTCCAGGGAGGGAGGGATGTATGAATGGAGGTCAGGAGAAAGAATGCGCGCTATGCAGAGGGAGGGAGCGATAAGCGACAGGAATGGGACAGGAGGCAGGGAGAGGACGAGGCAGGTATGTGCTCACTAGACAACATGGGGCATGTTCACACACACACACACACACACACACACACACACACACCCGTGCACACACACACATACACATACACACACAATCACACCTTAGCCCAGGGTTTCACAAACTCGGTCCTGAGGACCCCAAAGGGTGCATGTGTTGGTTTTTGCCCTAGCACTACACAGCTGATTGAAATAATCAACTAATCATCACGTTTGATTATTTGAATCAGCTGTGTAGTGCTAGGGCAAAAAAACTAAACGTGCACCCTTTGGGGTCCCCAGGACCGATTTGGGAAATGCTGCCTTAGCCTGTGGGAGGTGGGGGGAACAGAAAGGAGTGACACCTTCATTTCTCACTCTCTCTACCTCACGTTCTCTCTCACTATCTCTCAGCTCACCTTATCAGAGAGCAGCTCAGACAAATACTGTGGGATGAAGTCCAAAACTATTTCACAGAACAGAACAGCACAACACAAAACAGAACAGCACAGATCAGCAGAGCAAAGAACAGCACATCACAAAACAGAACAGCACAGAACAGCATAGAAGAGCACGGAACAGCACAGAACAGCACAGAACAGCATAGAATAGCACAGAACAGCACAGAACAGCACAGCTCAGAACAGCACAGCTCAGAACAGCACAGAATAGAACAGCACAGAACAGCACATCATAAAACAGAACAGCACATAACAGCACAGAACAGCACAGAACAGCACAGCTCAGAACAGCTCAGAACAGCACAGCTCAGAACAGAACAGAACAGCTCAGAACAGCATGGAACAGAACAGCTCAGAACAGCACAGCTCAGAACAGAACAGCACAGAACAGCACAGCACAGAACAGAACAGAACAGCACAGAACAGCTCAGAAAAGAACAGCACAGAACAGGACAGCTCAAAACAGAACAGCTCAGCGGCAGCTTCTGATCCTCCTCCTCCTAGCACTAGAGGAGAGGTAGAGGGGAGGGGTCACCAGAGATGGTGTAAATGTCTATCTCAGTCAGTCCAGGACTTGAACTGGACATTGAAATGATTCTGTAAACCTTTGTTGACAATAAAAAACATTGGAAAGGAAATAGTTTTGAGAATACCTGGAATAATAAAACAATAGGAATAAGACATTTATACTACATTTTTTGATTCAAACTCAATCGCATGTCCAACCCTATACTGTTACCACACCTCTGGAGGCTAAATGGGTGTGTGGGTTTTGTCTCTGTCCAGTGAGGGGTGGGAGGTGTGGGGAAGAGTGGCGCCCCTGTCCCCTGCAGACCCGGTGGAGGTGGCAGGGTTGTCATTTAATGTGTATGTGTGTGTGTGTGTGCTTGTGCGTGTGTGTGTGTGCACTTGTGCGTTTGCGTGTGCGTGTGTGTATATGTGTGTGTGTGTGTATGTAATGAAGTTCGTTAAGGCATGAGGCGTTTGAGGACCTGGTATTCTGGGAAACAGAGGATAAAAGCCAACAGGACATTCCAACAGCAGATTACTGCAGCTCAGGGTTCCCCAGACCCACCTCACAGCCAGGGTGTTACTGTTAACTCTCTCACTACACACTTTGTAGTGTGGAGTGTCTGTCTGTAGTGTGGAGTGTGTGTCTGTAGTGTAGAGTGTGTGTCTGTAGTGTGGAGTGTCTGTCTGTAGTGTGGAGTGTCTGTCTGTAGTGTGGAGTGTCTGTCTGTAGTGTGGAGTGTCTGTCTGTAGTGTGGAGTGTCTGTCTGTAGTGTGGAGTGTGTGTCTGTAGTGTGGAGTGTCTGTCTGTAGTGTAGAGTGTGTGTCTGTAGCTTAGAGTGTCTGTCTGTAGTGTAGAGTGTCTGTCTGTAGTATGGAGTGTCTGTCTGTAGTGTGGAGTGTGTGTCTGTAGCTAAGAGTGTCTGTCTGTCTGTAGTGTAGAGTGTCTGTCTGTAGTGTAGAGTGTCTGTCTGTAGTGTGGAGTGTCTGTCTGTAGTGTGGAGTGTCTGTCTGTAGTGTGGAGTGTGTGTCTGTAGCTAAGAGTGTCTGTCTGTCTGTAGTGTGGAGTGTCTGTCTGTAATGTAGAGTGTGTGTCTGTAGTGTAGAGTGTGTGTCTGTAGTGTAGAGTGTCTGTCTGTAGTGTGGAGTGTCTGTCTGTAGTGTGGAGTGTCTGTCTGTAGTGTAGAGTGTGTGTCTGTAGTGTAGAGTGTCTGTCTGTAGTGTAGAGTGTCTGTCTGTAGTGTGGAGTGTGTGTCTGTAGTGTAGTGTGTGTGTGTGTATCCATGGGAGGGTTGTGAGGAGATTCTTTGAGTCAGCCGCTCAGATCTTCCACCACAACAGGATCAAAGTAATCATTAATGTGATCCTATCTTCTGGCAACATCTTATCGAATTTCCTCCTTTTGTTTCATTCAAGGCTCCTGTGAAAGAAACGGACACAAATTCCTCTCAGGACAAACATACAAAGAGAACTGCAACTTATGGTAAGTGTCTCTAACCGCTTTCTCTCTTTCCTCTCTATATACCTTTATCTCTCCTTCAAATCGTCCTCTTTCTCCTCTCTCTCTTCCTTTCTTTACATCTCTTCTGATGACATGACCGTTCTGGTTGTACCACAGACAGCCACGTTTCCATGGAGAGTTTTGGGGCCTTTTCTCATGATGCTGTCTCATTCATAACTCTTCTACATAATCTTGGGACCCCTGTTCATTCATTTGGGTTATTGTAGCTAGCTATCGCCTTCATCGAATGAAAGAGTCTTGCATCTTATCAAACAAGCAGCCTTAGAAAACAATGGCAAGACATGGCATCACATCACACTACAATACAGCACTTAGCATTGGGCAACATTAGGCAACATCGGGCAAAATTGGTAAAAATTCACAAATTTGAGCAACAGTGGGCCTTGTGGGGGCTAGAGCAGCCAGGTTACCCGTGATACAAGTCAATATTCGACGTCCATCCATGTCTGAGGACATCAGGAGAGTACTTCGAAACCGGCCACTAGGGGCAACAGCGAGCGCTGTTATCTTCAAGTAGGTTTCGGTTTTGCTAGGGTGTTGTGGAAAGCGATGGCAGATGGGTGTAAGTATCTGCAGCTGATTCCAAAGGTTGCACGTTCTAATCCAGTGATAGAAAGTTATTTTTGTTTTAAGCCTATCCCAAACCTTAACCCTTACCTTAACCATTTGGTTAAGGCACTGCATCTCTGTCACTACTGACCCTGGTTCGATTCCAGGCTGTATCACAATCCGGCCGTGATTGGGAGTCCCATAGGGCGGTGCACAATTGGCCCAGCGTTGTCCGGGTTTGGCCGGGGTAGGCCGTCATTGTAAATAAGAATTTGTTATTAACTGACTTGCCTAGTTAAATAAAGGTTAAATAAAATAATGCCTAACCTTAAGATTTCAGAGTTAATGCCTAAACTTTATCTTACACACTTCGAAATTTGACGTTTGCAATAACTTCGAAATTTGACGTTTGAGAAACATGGATGAATGTCTAATTCTGACGTGAGACTGTGAGAGCTAGTGGGGCTATAGAGGCAGGGGTAGGATGTGCTACCCCTAAACGCTACACTCTTAGAAAAAAGGGTTCCAAAAGGGTTCTGCGGCTGTCCCCATAGGAGAGCCCTTTTTGGTTCCAGGTAGAACCCTTTTTGGTTCCAGGTAGAACTCTTTTGGGTTCCATGTAGAACCCTATGTGGAAAGGGTTCTACCTGGAACCAAAAGGGTTCTACCTAGAACCAAAAGTGTTCTTCAAAGGGTTTTCCTATGGGGACAGCCGAAGAACCCTTTCTGGTTCTAGATAGCACCTTTTTTTCTAAGAGTGTAGAGAACTGAACACATTCCTCAAATACCCAGTGTCCACCTCCTCTCCTCCTCCTTCTCTCCTCCTCTCCTCCCGCCCTCCATCTGTTCCTCCTCTTTACAGCGATGTTTTACAGTAATGAGAGGGACAGCAGAGCAAACTGGCGACAGGTAAATACTGTACATCAGCCTTTCTTAAAGTCTGGGAACACAGTTCTGGGTTTCTCATCTACAGCAGGAAAGCAGTCTCCTGCCTGGCTGAGAAAACAGTAGATGTTCTGATCCAGTTTGGCACCACATACCTATGCCAGTCAGGGTTCTCAACTCTGGCGTACTTTAAAAAAAGTACAGAAACAGACTCCATGCTGAGCATGACCTCAGGGTTGCACTGTCATAAACTGAGCCCAGAATAGACATGCTTGTTGAAGCTTCAACCAGCCACACACCTCTCATTAGGACTGTGTGTGTGTGTGTGTGTTTTCTGGTCTACATCTGTGTGATGTGATCAATCAGTTTATTCCAGTTCAGAATGAAAATGATTTATTGTATTTTAACAGCAACAGTTCCAACCTAGACAGATATGTAAGAGTGTTTTTAATGGGGGAAAAATAAACATGAATAGCTATTTCATTTCATTGTTATTTGTTTTTGTCTATATTGCATTTAAATGTACCGATATTTACGTATAGTTTAAGAACCCCTGCTGTACATACTGAAGACCATGCACGTTCAGTTTATCTGCTAGTCTGTATGTTTATGTGTTTGATAGGCATTAGAGACCACAGGAGGCTGCTGAGGGGAGGATGGCACATAATAATGACCGGAACGGAGTGAATGGAATGGAATCAAACACATTGAAACCAAGTGTGTGATGTATTTGATACCATTCAACTTATTGCCACGAGCCCGTCCTCCCCAATTAAGGTGGCACCAGCCTCCTGTGTCAGAGACCCAATATGGCATAAACCTTATATGGGATTTTCACCCTTTCAGCTGTGCATTACTCTAACCCAGGCATGGGCAACTTTGATGTAGATGGGGGCCACAAAAATTTGAACTCATCATGAGGGGCTGCAGTTTCTCGCAGGTCTGCGTACCCACATCCCACACCCACATTGCGAGCAAAACATTTTAGTGGCCCCCCTCTTGACAGAGTTTTAGAGTTAATTTTACACAATTCTACACATTTTGCCATGGGGTGTAGAGAAAATGTGACGGTTTTAAAGCAAGTTTGCTGCAATTCTACACATTTTGCCATGGAGTGGTGAGAAATGTTTGCAGTTTTTTGTATGATATCTGACTGAGACTGACTAACAAAAGCAATGGGGGCCCCCCGGCCGGTAATTCGACCATGATAACAAGTTTAGACAGCTGACCTCTACACTAATTTAGCAATCTAAAAACATTGACTGACTATCAGTGACTGACATAAGAGACATTCTAACACACAGACACCTGGAAAACCTCTCTCAAACACACAGACACCTGGAAACCTCTTTCTAACATACAGACAACTGGAAACCTCTTTCTAACACAAAGACACCTGGATAACTCTCTCAAACACACATACACCTGGAAAACTCTCTCTAACACAGGAATATGTAGAAAGACAAAACCAGGTTATCTCATAGACACCAAACTCTGTGATTTAATTGCATTGAGTTCTCCTCACCTGTAGCTTTCAAATTGGACTCTTTGATTTGACTTAATTGCATTGAGTTCTACTCACCCTTAGCTTTTCAACTGGACGAATTGCATTGAGTAGCCCTCACTAAAAGCTCTAGGCTTTTTGTCTTTATGGGATGGACTGTTTTTGTTCTAATCACCTTGCATGTGGGGTGTGGATGGTTTTCCTGTCCGGGGGATGTACAGTCATTCAAAATAACAGAGGGGACAGCGGGTAGGGGATAAGGGGTGAGGACAGTTTCCAGGATGAGGGGTGGTAGAATTCCTCACCTGTCTGCTAGAATGGTTTCTCACACCCCCGCCACGGGCAGATTTGCAGAGAGTTTGTTTGGTTTGGTGTGTGTGTGTGTGCGCGCACACTGGGGATGCAAAGGCAAGTGTCTGTGTGGCGTCTGCCCCCATTCATGTATCCATATCGTATTTATTTTCATACTCATGCAAAATGTCCTGTAGCTGTTTCTCTGGGAGAGTCTAACTCCTGCCATATTCATGTCTGCCTACCCGACCTGGGTTCAATACTATTCGAAATCTTTCAAATACTTTCAGCGTTTGCTCTAGCCAGACTGGAGTGCCAGATGGGTGGGGTTTGTAGTTTGGGGACGATTCTATTGGGCTATTAAGCCAGGCAAGCTCAACCAAGTAGATTAAGTATTTTAAAGGATTTCGAATAGTATTTGAACCCAGGTCTGCTGCATAGCTTCAGACTGGTAGTCCTGAACCCTGTCTCATATCAAGACAGGAGTCTATTAGTGGCGACCTAAGGGTCAGATAGGAGCAGAGATATTAAAGGGGAGCCTATAGACGCCCAGTCTAGCCTTGATAAATGGACCTACTGTGTCTCCCTCTTCTCCTTTAAGAGAGACGTTTGGAGGTTAAATAAACACAACCTCCCTGGTAAAAATAAACCCTGCTTTCAGTACAGCATGGACCTGCATTTAAGTGTAAATTCCCCTTTCACTGTTAAATTCAAACAAAAGGTCACACGCAAGAAACACTCACAACCATTCATGCACTCACACACAAGCATGTAACGTACACACACAGGTAGGCACATACAGTATGAACAAACACACACGCACGCACACACACACACACACACACACACACACACACACACACACACGCTCCCCTACTCTCCTCTCATTTCCCATGTGTGCATATTGTTCCTAACACTCCTACACACTCCCAGGCCATTGTGTCTTTTAACACACAGGGTTTTGGGTGGAAGACAGTTTCCATTCCTAAATAACCAAGCACTCTCCTTGTCCCTCTCCCTCAGTGTGCCCTCCTCTCCCCTCTCTGCTCTGGTCAGCCCCCACTGTCTTCATCTCTCCCGCCTACTCACCTTGGCTGACCATTCTGATCTCCTTACAACAGTAGGCTAATGTATTACAGCAGTTACCTCATGACCAACACCACACTATTAACATGCAGCTCAATTGGTAGAGCATGGCGCTTGTAACGCCAGGGTAGTGGGTTCGATCCCCGGGACCACGCATACGTAAAAATGTATGCGCACATGACTGTAAGTCGCTTTGGATAAAAGCGTCTGCTAAATGGCATATTATTATTATTATATGCAGTTCAACATCTGCTCGAGTACCTGCGAATGCTTTGTCCGGGGCATCTACAGCTCTAGAAAAAATTAAGAGACCACTGCAAAATTATCAGTTTCTCTAGTTTTATTATTTATAGGTATGTGTTTGGGTAAAAATAACATTTTTGTTTTATTCTATAAACTACTGACAACATTTCTCCCAAATTCCAAATAAAAATATTGTCATTTAGAGCATTTATTTGCAGAAAATGACAACTGGTCAAAATAATAAAAAAGATGCAGTGTTGTCAGACGTCGAATAATGCAAAGAAAATAAGTTCATGTTCATTTTTAAACAACCCAATACTGATGTTTTAACTTAGGAAGAGTTCAGAAATCAATATTTGGTGGAATAACCCTGATTTTCAATCACAGCTTTCATGCATCTTGGCATGCTCTCAACCAGTCTTTCACATTGATGTTGGGTGACTTTATGCCACTCCTGGCACAAAAATTCAAACAGCTCGGCTTTGTTTGATGGCTTGTGACCATCCATCTTCCTCTTGATCACATTCCAGAAGTTTTCAATGGGGTTCAGGTCTGGAAATTGGGCTGGCCATGACAGGGTCTTGATCTGGTGGTCCTCCATCCACACCTTGATTGACATGGCTGTGTGGCATGGCACATTGTCCTGCTGGAAAACCAATCCTCAGAGTTGGGGAACAATGTCAGAGCAAAAGGAAGCACGTTTTCTTCCAGGACAACCCTGTACATGGCTTGATTCATGCGTCCTTCAAAAAGACAAATCTGCCCGATTCCAGCCTTGCTGAAGCACCCCCAGATCATCACCGATCCTCCACCAAATTTCACAGTGGGTGCGAGACACTGTGGCTTGTAGGCCTCTCCAGGTCTCCGTCTAACCATTAGACGACCAGGTGTTGGGCAAAGCTGAAAATTGGACTCATCAGAGAATATGACCTTACTCCAGTCCTCTACGGTCCAATCCTTATGGTCTTTTGCAAACCTCAGCCTGGCTCTTCTTTGCTTCTCATTGATAAAGGGCTTTTTTCTAGCTTTGCACGACTTCAGCCCTGCCCCTAGGAGCCTGTTTCGAACCGTCCTCGCTGTGCACTTCACCCCAGCTGCCGTTTGCCATTCTTTTTGTAGGTCACTTGATGTCATCCTACGGTGGTTGAGTGACATTCGAATGAGTTGGCGGTGATCCCGGTCAGTAGAGAGTCGTTTTCGCCCTCTGCCAGTCTGTAGCTTTGTTGTCCCCAATGTCTGCTGCTTGAACTTGTTCTTATGAACCACTGTCATTTACATTTTAAGGATGGAAGCAACCTGACGCTCACTGTATCCCTCTGCCAGTAAAGCCAGAATTGAACCCTTCTTTTCCTCACTCAAAACTTTCCTTTTCAACTCTTTTGGCATGGTCAATAGTTATTTTTTGATTAATATTACTTTTGAGGTACTATTAGTACTGTTTTTGCCATCCAGCTGGTCCTATTGCAGGAGGATAGTGAGGACCACAGCAGTGGTTTTTATACTTTTCCTCGTTAAATAAGATTTGGTTCAGGTGATCACCTAATCAGTACCTATTTCAGTAGAATGAGGTGTGCCTGTGTTGGAATTCAACAGACACTGGAATGGAATGGCTGTCATACATGTAGAGATGCTGATTTAAGAAAAATGTGTATTTGTGTTTGAATGTGTAAGTGTGTGTGTGAGTGTGTGTGTGCATGCGTGTGTGTATGTGGATATCTGTGTATGTGTTTTTGTGTGTGTTTGTTGATGTTTATTTGTCTATCACCATGTGTTCCTGTCTGATAAGCCCAGGCTTTTGTGTTCCTGATAGAATCTTCAGCGGAGGCTTTGAGTCATTAAGCAGTTGGCTGTGATAGCTCCTGATAACACTTTGTCTAATGGAGGTCATCTCTGTGGCAGCACCTCCCGCTTTCAGCAGCTATATCATTCATCTGGCTGTGGGGTTATCTTCCTATTGATCTGACTCTGGGCTTCTGTTGGATCTGGCCTGCGTCCCAAATGGCACCCTATTCCCTATTTAGTGCACTACTTTTGACCAGGCCACATAGGGCTCATGACTCAACTCTAGTGTAGTCTACTGTGTGTTGGCCAGTGTCCTTATAGTAGAACAAGTGTCCCATAGGGTTAGACTGTGGTATAACACACGGCCATAGCCACAGTAAAATGTTCACTGTGAGGGGATTATAGTGACGTATAAACCCAGCTAGAGTATAAAAATGGCTGTGTTTTCACACAGAGAGTGCTGAGAGGCTTTGTGCCACCATGTGTGTTCATGCCACAACCCCCCACAATGCCCTTTTCACAGTGTGTGTGTCTTTGACTTTGTGTGTTTGCGTGCATGTCTTTTGTATGTCTTTTCGTGTTTCTGCCTGTCTGCCTGTCTGCCTGTCTGTGGTCTGAGAGGGGAGAATCTCCCTGCTGGGTATCATCCCTAGCCTCTTGTTTCTAATGGTGAAGTGTGACGGGGAATCTGAGCTATGGTCTCCCAGTGTTCACACAGCCCTCATATTTCACCATCTGTCTCTGTACCAGACCTAGACCTCAGAGTGCGTTCTGTTGGCCTCAGGTTCAGGTCTGTGCCAGGGTAGCAGGGTGTGTGTGTGTAAATATTAGGGGTGTAACGATTCGTTTTAACAACGATTCGATTTGTATCACGATTCGTGGTTGTCGATACGATTCAAGGACGATATTGGTTCATTTAGAACGATACGATCCGAAACGATTCAGTGACTTGAAATCGATTCAGTAACCTTTTAGCCAAAAATTCAAACAGTGTGACTGAAATAAATACCTGGATACTGGACAGTGCAGGTGAAGTTTCCTAGATTCCTGTTTCTTGTAAGGACCGCAATGGTGGCTTGATAATTTCTCGCTCGTCGGCTTCTCCTCTGTCGTCCGCCATGCTATGTTTTGTTGTCTTTGCGCCTTTGCGCTGCTGCTGGCGCGGGGCGATGACGTCACGGATAGGCAGACTGAATCGAGTAATGTTTAAAGCCTTTATCATTAAAAGTGCTAAGAAAAAACATCCATATAAAGTCTGACGTGCTTAAATCCAATGGGTTATTTCCTAGTATCGATACAATCGATTTATTACATTTTAAAACGATGTTAGATTGATATATGTTGTCCAAAAGGCCAACTCGCCGAGCACAGATCGATGTAGTTGGATCATAGGAATATAAATCGATACATCGATGTAGTAGATGGATCGTTACACCCCTAGTAAATAGCCTTGGGCTTATGCGAGCTGGAACGGCTCATAGGGCAGGAGCCTATCTCCTGTTTCTGTAGCGTGAGGCAGCTTGATGTACCAGTACACCCCCTGGACAGGACGCTAATATATCTCCTTAATCTTGAGTGCCAAGCAGAGACGCATCAGGTCCCATTTTTACAGTCTTTGATATGACTCGGCCAGTGATTGAACTCACAACCTTCCAATCTGAGGGCAGACAGTCTAACCACAAGGTCACTGAGTGTGCATGTGTGTCTGACTGAATGTTGTCCCTGGAATGTTATTTGTTAGCTAATACACATATTGGACCTAGCATGACTAAATGAGAATGTTTCGGTGGTTCTGACTGGGGAACTAGACAGGGACTCCACTCTATAAAATAGGACCACAGATCCAATAGACTTTATAGTCTGAGGTTTATAGGTACAAAAGGGTTCTTCGGCTATACCCATAGGATAACCCTTTTTGGTTTCCAGGTAGAACCGTTTTTGGTTCCAGGTTGAACTATTTTGGGTTCCATGTAGAACCCAATGTGGAAAGGGTTCTACCTGGAACCAAAAATGTTATTTTAGGTTGTAGATAGCACCTTTTGTTATAAGAGTGTAGAGCTGTGTGTGAGAGAGACCAGTGATAGGGTTAGTATTATCTTAAGATAACGATAAGGTAAGAAGTTAAGTCATCATCATCATCATCATCATCATCATCATCATCATCATCTTCCTTTAGATAGCACAGTACATGAACCACCTGTGTGAGTATGCACTGTAACTCATTATGAATGCATACAGTAGATTGCTATTAGGAGTCATGAGCTAGTATGAATGTTTATGGCTAGTATGAATGTTTATGGCTAGTATGAATGGTTATGGCTAGTATGAATGGTTATGGCTATGGCTAGTATGAATGTTTATGTCTAGTATGAATGTTATGGCTAGTATGAATGTTTATGGCTAGTATGAATGTTATGGCTAGTATGAATGTTTATGGCTAGTATGAATGTTATGGCTAGTATGAATGTTTATGGCTAGTATGAATGTTATGGCTAGTATGAATGTTATGGCTAGTATGAATGTTTATGGCTAGTATGAATGTTTATGGCTAGTATGAATGTTTATGGCTAGTATGAATGTTATGGCTAGTATGAATGTTATGGCTAGTATGAATGTTTATGGCTAGTATGAATGTTTATGGCTAGTATGAATGTTTATGGCTAGTATGAATGTTTATGGCTAGTATGAATGGTTATGGCTAGTATGAATGTTTATGGCTAGTATGAATGTTTATGGCTAGTATGAATGTTATGGCTAGTATGAATGTTATGGCTAGTATGAATGTTTTCTATTGCACTATGAGTGTCAGGCCCTAAACATATTATATAAAGTTGGTTTAAGGAGTTGTTACCATGGTGATGTATATCTTCATCAGACACTGTTACAGTATGTTGTACAGTAGGCCTATCAGACTTTATTACTGTGTCCCAAATGGCACCATATGGCCTACATAGTCCACTACTTTTTTGGACCCTGGTCAAAAGGAGTACACTATGGGATAGGGTGCCATTTTGGTCTATGACTGTACTGTACTGTATGTGTGTGTGTCCGGCTAATAGTTCTTTCCGGGGGCCATGGCACACACACCTCCCCACAGTGACTCAGCACAACACAGACAGTAGGAATGCTCTACTTCAGTGGATCACAAACATTTTCATGCGGTCATGTTTCAATATCTACTTATCGTGCCCATCAGACTGGTTAGTATTCACTGGGTCCTTGGTACTAAAAATGGACATTTTTCTGTGCTCTGTAGCCTTAAAAGGTCCTTTGTTCCTCCCCTTCATTCTCTCTCTCTCTCTCTCTCTCTATCTCTCTCTCTCTCTCTCTCTCTCTCTCTCTCTCTCTCTCTCTCTCTCTCTCTCTCTCTCTCTCTCTCTCTCTCTCTCTCTCTCTCTCTCTCTCTCTCTCTCTCTCTCTATGCCAAGTCCCCTGTTCCCCTTGTTCAGTCTCTCCCTGGGGAATTAGGCTATACAGTGTAGCTTTTATAAATGTTTTATTCTTAAAACGTTCTCTCTATATTGACTGTTGGCTTCCTTGTTCCTTCCGTTAATTCAGCATCATTACTTCAAAACAGTGGACAACGGTCAGTTGTGCTTTTGTACAGTAAATTACATCAATCACTTGAACTACAGTGTGTGCAGTACAGTAATACACTTCCAATTATTATAATTAAGCCCTAAGAATGTGGCATCATTAGCCATGAATCTAAAGCAGTGTTCTGAGTTCTGACCCCTGCCCATTCTAACTTTGTATCTCTTGTACCCTCTCTACTCCCCTTTTCTTTTCTCTTCCCCTCTTTATCTGCCCCTCTCTCTGCCCTTTTTACCTCTCTCTCTCTCCGCTCTCGCTCTCCTCTCATCTCTATTTCTCTATCCTAGTCTCTCTCTCTCTCGCTCTCCTCTCTCATCGTCCTCTTCTCCCCCTCCCCTCCCTCGACTCTCCTACAGCACGTGTGGAAACAACTGGGTCCGTGGGAGTGTGAGCAGTCATGCCTGTCTGTAGAGAATGACAGGATCCAGGTCTGTCCAACAGAGGGAAAACTATGGGTAAGGGGCACTAAACACACCCGCACACAGGGCACGCATGCACACACACCACACACACATCACAACATTTTTTCCCACCTCACTGTCCTGACTTTCCCGCTCTCTACCCTAGCTGGCAGGCAGCAAACTACAGCCAGTTCTATGGCATGTCTCTGGATGAGGGCCTGAGGTATCGCCTGGGGACACAGAGGCCCTCCAGGACCATCATGAGCATGAACGAGATGCAGGTGAGAGGACCTGTCTGCTGGGTAGGGCGCGATAGGGGGTGGGGGTGAGGCTGGGTGATTCATGGGATGGATCTCCAATGCCATGGCACCCTATTCCTTATAAAGTGCACTACTTTTTACGAGGGCCCATGTAGGGGACCATAGGGCGCACTATGTAGGGAATAGGGTGCCAATTGGGATGCAGACATGGTGTCGCAGCCTCACATTCAGAGTGAGGGACAGAACAGTCTGTTTTTCCCTTTTTCAAAGCGGGTCTCTCAGAACATTAGCTATGTAAACTTGAGAAGTATCTTCCAAAGATCATTTGGTGTAATGCAAAAGTGTATGCATCAAAAGGGACCTTTGACATAACATTTTACATAAAGATTCTGCTTGCCTGGCATGTATCATTACCAGCTATGGCTACCAGGCGGAGTCTGGTATTGATCTGTTGATAATTCTCTGTCTGTCTGGATCTTGGAAGCTTCCCCTCTGCTGTGTGCTGTCTTTAGCTCTGTTTACATTCTAACCAGACATATTATGTAAGAGCCAATCATATCATCAGAGAGGGGCTTGGGAGGATAGGGGTGGAGGGGATGGGGTGAGAGGATAGAGGTGGAGGGGGATGGGGTAGAGATGGAGGAGGATGGGTGAGAGGGGTAGAGGATAGGGTGGAGGGGAGGATGGAGTGGGGATGGTAGAGGATAGAGGTGGAGGAGGAGGATAGAGGGATAGAGGTGGAGGGGATGGGGAGGGTTAGAGGATGAGGTGGAGGGGAGGATGAGTAGAGGATAGAGGTGGAGGGAGGATGGGGGAGAGGATAGAGGTGGAGGGGATGGGGTAGATAGAGGTGGGGGGATGGGGTAGAGATAGATTGGAGGGATGTAGAGGATAGGGGGAGGAGGAGAGGTGGAGGTAGAGGATAGAGGTTTATGTGAGGATAGAGGTGGAGGGGGTGGGTAGGGTAGTGCTAGGGGAGGATGGGAGTTGGAGATTGAGGTGGGGGAGGTGGGGTAGTATAGAGGTGTGAGGGTGGGTTAGGGATAGGTGAGGGGAGGATTTCGGTGTAGGTTTAGAGATGGAGGGGAGGATGTTTTTTGGTAGAGGATATGAGGTGGGGTTTCATTGAGGTGTGGCGGTTAGAGTGATGAGGTGGAGGGATGGGGTAGAGGATAGGGTGGAGGGATGGGTGGTATTAGAGGATAGCAGGTGGGGGAGGATTGTGTGTAGAGGATTAGAGGTCGGGGGTTGGGGGTAGAGGATGGGTGGTAGGGATTTTCGTAGGTGAGGTGTTTGTAGGGTGGGGTTAGCGTAGAGGTGGAGGGGAGATGGGTAGAGATATGAGTGGCAGGGGAGATGGGGTGAGATAGAGTGGAGGGCGAGGATGGGGTTAGAGGATAGAGGTGAGCGAGGGGATGGGGTAGAGGATAGAAGGTGGAGGGGAGGAGGGGGTAGAGGATAGAGGTGGAGGGGATGGGGGTAGAGGATAGAGGTGGAGGGGAGGATGGAGTAGAGGATAGAGGTGGAGTGGAGGATGGGGTAGAGGATAGAGGTGGAGGGGCTGGGTAGAGGATAGAGGTGGAGGGGAGGATGGGGTAGAGGATAGAGGTGGAGGGGGGGAGGATGGGGTAGAGGATAGAGGTGGAGGGGAGGATGGGGTAGAGGATAGAGGTGGAGGGATGGGGTTGTTAGAGGATAGAGGTGGAGGGGAGGATGGAGGTAGAGGATAGAGGTGGAGGGGAGGATGGGGTGAGGATAGAGGTGGAGGGGAGGATGGGGGTAGAGGATAGAGGTGGAGGGGAGGATGGAAGTAGAGGATAGAGGTGGAGGGGATGGGGATGGGGGGTAGAGGATAGAGGTGGAGGGAGGAGGGGTAGAGGATAGAGGTGGAGGGGAGGATGGAGTAGAGGATAGAGGTGGAGGGGATGGGGATGGGGTAGAGGATAGAGGTGGAGGGGAGGATGGGGTAGAGGATAGAGGTGGGGGGAGGATGGGGTAGAGGATAGAGGTGGAGGGATGGGGATGGGGTTAGAGGATAGAGGTGGAGGGGAGGATGGGTGAGGATAGAGGTGGAGGGAGGTGGGTAGATAGAGGTGGAGGGGAGGATGGGGGGTAGAGGATAGAGGTGGAGGGGAGGATGGGGTAGAGAATAGAGGTGGAGGGGAGGATGGGGTAGAGGATAGAGGTGGAGGGGAGGATGGGGTAGAGGATAGAGGTGGAGGGGAGGATGGGGTAGAGGATAGAGGTGGAGGGGATGGGGTAGAGGATAGAAGTGGAGGGGATGATGGGGTAGAGTCATCTCCTTTTAGACAACACAACTGACTGGCCCTCCCCTCTCCCTGCTCTCCTTCCCAACCCCTATCCCCCACCTCTCCCACCTTACATCCTCCAGACCAAACTCCCCCACCCCCTCCTCCCTTCAACTCCACTCTCTCCAACCCCCCACACCCACTCCCCCACCCCCACCTCCCTTTAACTCCACTTTCCAACACCGCCCTCCCCCACCCCTTCCTTCCTTCAACTCCATTCTCTTCAACCCACCACTCCCTCAGCCCACCTGTCCCTCTCCTCCCAACATGCCCCTACCTGTCTAAGCAGGAGAGCTTATTCATAAATCCCCACATGTCTAACAGTCCTTAAACAGGGTAATGGACAGGCCCAGTCCTAACTGAGGCCTGGGGGTTGCAGCCTCACACACAGGCAAAATTGTCTCCCATTTCTCACACCCCTTATCTCTGAACACATCAGTACCGGGCTCTCACCTCCAAGCTGGCTCAAGCGTCGCTCCGAGGTGTGGTCTGGTTTGGACTTTGACCACAGCACACACAAACACATTCCTAGATTTTATATCAGGTGTTTGTCTGGGGAGAATGGTTGAGATATTAACAGGAGGAATGTGAGTAGGCCGTACCAGCAGATGTAGTATGTCTAAACAGAGCTAGAGTTACACAGGTAATACGCTAATGCTACATACCTGCCTCCCACCTCCATACCTGGCCTGTCTCCGTCCCAATATATAGTGCTCCAATTTTGACCAGGGCCCACAGAGCTCTGGTGAAAAGTAGTGAACTAAGTAGGGAACAATGTCAGAGACCGATATTAGGCCAAATGGTCCTAATCGTCTGTGAATAAGTCATCTCTACCGGAATAACTGAACAGACTTTTGCCAATGATATGCGTGTGTCACACAGCCATCTTACTGTAATTACATTCATGACAGTCCTATTGTGGATAATGAATCACCATGCGCTGAGCACGCTCCACACAAAAGCATCATTAGGAAGTTGTTGTTGTTGTTGTTGGTTTGTCAGTCACCTCTTGCTGTTGGTTTGTCAGTCACCTCTTGCTGTTGGTTTGTCAGTCACCTCTTGTTGTTGGTTTGTCAGCCTCCTCTTGTTGTTGGTTTGTCAGTCACCTCTTGTTGTTGGTTTGTCAGTCACCTCTTGTTGTTGGTTTGTCAGTCACCTCTTGTTGTTGGTTTGTCAGCCTCCTCTTGCTGTTGGTTGTCAGCCTCCTCTTGTTGTTGGTTTGTCAGCCTCCTCTTGCTGTTGGTTTGTCAGTCACCTCTTGTTGTTGGTTTGTCAGCCTCCTCTTGTTGTTGGTTTGTCAGTCACCTCTTGTTGTTGGTTTGTCAGCCTCCTCTTGTTGTTGGTTTGTCAGTCACCTCTTGTTGTTGGTTTGTCAGTCACCTCTTGCTGTTGGTTTGTCAGCCTCCTCTTGTTGTTGGTTTGTCAGCCTCCTCTTGTTGTTGGTTTGTCAGTCACCTCTTGTTGTTGGTTTTGTCAGTCACCTCTTGTTGTTGGTTTGTCAGTCACCTCTTGTTGTTGGTTTGTCAGCCTCCTCTGTGTTGGTTTGTCAGCCTCCTCTTTGTTGTTGGTTTTGTCAGCCTCCTCTTGTTGTTGGTTTGTCAGTCCTCCTCTTGTTGTTGGTTTGTCAGTCACCTCTTGTTTGTTGGTTTGTCAGTCACCTCTTGTTGTTGGTTTGTCAGTCACCTCTTGTTGTTGGTTTGTCAGTCACCTCTTGTTGTTGGTTTGTCAGTCACCTCTTGTTGTTGGTTTGTCAGCCTCCTCTTGCTGTTGGTTTGTCAGCCTCCTCTTGCTGTTGGTTTGTCAGTCACCTCTTGTTGTTGGTTTGTCAGTCACCTCTTGTTGTTGGTTTGTCAGTCACCTCTTGTTGTTGGTTTGTCAGTCACCTCTTGTTGTTGGTTTGTCAGTCACCTCTTGTTGTTGGTTTGTCAGTCACCTCTTGTTGTTGGTTTGTCAGCCTCCTCTTGTTGTTGGTTTGTCAGTCACCTCTTGTTGTTGGTTTTCAGTCAGCTATTGCTTTTGGTTTGTCAGTCACCTCTTGTTGTTGGTTTGTCAGTCACCTCTTGTTGTTGGTTTTTCAGTCAGCTATTGCTTTTGGTTTGTCAGTCACCTCTTGTTGTTGGTTTGTCAGCCTCCTCTTTTTGTTGGTTTGTCAGTCATGTCTTGTTGTTGGTTTGTCAGTCACCTCTTGTTGTTGGTTTGTCAGTCATGTCTTGTTGTTGGTTTGTCAGTCATCTCTTGTTGTTGGTTTGTCAGTCACCTCTTGTTGTTGGTTTTTCAGTCACCTCTCACTGTTGGTTTGTCAGTCACCTCTTGTTGTTGGTTTGTCAGCCTCCTCTTGCTGTTGGTTTGTCAGCCTCCTCTTGTTGTTGGTTTGTCAGCCTCCTCTTGTTGTTGGTTTGTCAGCCTCCTCTTGTTGTTGGTTTGTCAGCCTCCTCTTGTTGTTGGTTTGTCAGCCTCCTCTTGTTGTTGGTTTGTCAGCCTCCTCTTGTTGTTGGTTTGTCAGCCTCCTCTTGTTGTTGGTTTGTCAGCCTCCTCTTGTTGTTGGTTTGTCAGCCTCCTCTTGTTGTTGGTTTGTCAGCCTCCTCTTGCCGTCTGGCCGCTGGAACACCTACTGTAGGTTTTTGGGAGTAATAATTCATTTTATTTGTGTACTTCCAAATAAAATATCAAGGTGGTCAAGTACATTGAAACAGGATTGAAACTGTACAGTAGCTATTTCCTGTTTTTCCTCCTTCTCTCTATCCCCATGGCAGGTGAATATGGACCCTCAGAATGACCGTCTGCCTCAGTACTTCAACGCAGCAGAGAAGTGGCCTGGAAAGATCCATGAACCTCTGGACCAGGGCAACTGTGCTGCCTCCTGGGCCTTCTCCACTGCAGGTGAGACACAAAATGCTAGTAAAATACTGGCAGAATGCTGGCAAAATACTGGCAGAATGCAAGTAATGACGAAAATACTGGCAAAAGGCTGGTAAAATGCTGGTAGAATACTGGTAAAACACTGGTATTTTGGTGAATTACTGGAATTTCTGTAAAATACTGGTAAATGTGGGTAAAGAAAATTGAGAAATATTGCAAAATACTGGAAAGATGCTGGTAAAATGGTCATAAAATTACTTATTTGAAGTACCAGCTCATTCCCACAGAATATCTTAGAACATCTCTAAGGACATTTTACAGAATTTATTTTAAAACACTCTCTTTCTTTCTATCTCTCTTTTCCTCGCTCAGCGGTGGCGTCGGATCGAATCTCCATCCAGTCGATGGGTCACATGACCCCTCAGCTGTCGCCCCAGAACCTCATTTCCTGTGACACGCGCAACCAAGGGGGCTGTGCTGGAGGACGTATCGACGGAGCCTGGTGGTACCTGAGACGCAGAGGGTAGGACATATTTCACTGCAACACCAGGCACAATATTTTGGGTCAGTTTTTTGATCTTTTTATTGAATATTCTATGTTCTCTCTCATCTCTATCTGTCTCCATCTCTCTATGTCTCTGTTTTTTCTTCTATCTCTCTCTCTCTCTCTCTCTCTCTCTCTCTCTCTCTCTCTCTCCCTCTCTCTCTCTCCCTCTCTCTCTCTCAGTGTGGTGACAGAGGAGTGCTACCCGTTCTCTGCCCCCCAGCAGACACCAGCGGAGGTGGGCCGCTGTATGATGCAGAGTCGCTCTGTGGGCCGAGGGAAGAGACAGGCTACAGCACGCTGCCCCAGCACACACACCTACCACAACGACATCTACCAGTCTACACCTCCCTACAGGCTCTCATCAAACGTATGTACACACACTCGCACGCACACACACACACCATTACCACCATCAAAACATCTCCTGTTCAACACCTCTCCACGGGATGTGTACCTCTGACATCAGCTCATCACCGCTTGCAAAACATACTCTGTAATCCTCCATAAACATGGTAAAGTACGTTGCATAAGCTCTGTACACACATGGCTGAATTCCTCATGCTACATTAGCCCATTAGCTCTCTCACGTATTTGTCTTAATGTGTTTTCTCTACCGTCGAGAAAGTACAGAAGTCTCAGTTTGCTCGCTCATAAATTAATTCCTTGTGAAGGATGCAGACCTTTACATTTCCATGTGAAGTGGCAGAAAGAGAGAGAGAGCAGTGGTGTAAATATTAAGTGGTAGGCTAAAGTTGGATTACTTCTGGGCAACATCTGTCGTCAACATCACTCACCTGTAGGCCCTATTTTCCGGTTTACACTTGAACACGCCAGATTTCTCAACTGATCTAAGACAGAGTGGGTAGCAGTAGGGAATGTTACTGGAGTGAGCTACAGTAGATCAACTGGAAAGCCTGTAGCTATTACATTAAGGTTGTGTCCCAAATAGCACCCTATTTCCTACATAGTGCACTACTTTTGATAGTACTCTACCCTAAGGACCCTGATCAAAAGAAATGCATGGGTCCTGAAAAGAGTAGTGCACTATGTAGGGAATAGGGTGCCATTGAGGCAGCCTAACTGTTTCCAGAGTACATGAGCAGTTAGAGAACCCACATGCACCCACTTGTTTTATATCCTAATCAAAGTAGACCCACTGAGCTACAGCCTACCTGTGGTTTATTACCTCTCACCATCAATCATTCTAAATGATGCCTGATGTTGGAAATCATTACAGCATGTTTCTCTTCCTCTATGACCTCTCAAGTCACCAAGAGATGTACTGTACTACATGGTCTACTGATTTATGTTGATATCCTCTCCACTTTATCGCTTTCATCTAATTACAGATCTGTCCATTTCTTTCCTTTCATCAAATCACAGTTCTGTCCATCTCTCGTTTCTTCACAGGAGAAGGAGATCATGAAGGAGATTGTGGATAACGGCCCAGTGCAAGGTAGGATTATCTATTGACCATGACTTCCTGTGTGTGTGTGTGTGTGTGTGTGTGTGTGTGTGTGTTTGTGCGTGCGTGCGTGCGTGCATGCATGCAATTGCCATTGGCAACTATAATACTGGAACCATATGTGTATGCTGTAGCGCTCAAAGCCATCTCTTGGTTTTCTGAATGAATACAGACGGGCAAGACAGCCTGCTTAAGGAGGAGCATTGGGTATGAGAGGATGTGTGTATCAGATGTTTGGGCTATAACTCTGATTCATCATGCCATTGTTGGACATTGTTGGACTGGTATTCAGGAGGAAGAGTGTCTTTGTACAGGGTATGTAATGTGGTGAACATGCCAGAGACCTAAAAACCATTGTCAGCCCCCAGAGGCTTTAGCTTAGAGGGATAACTCTACATTGAGGCAGCTCAATTAACCCAAGCTCGAACCCCAGTGATTAGGACTGTTTATAGTGTAGCTTCCAACCCCGGCCCTTAGTTCATTCACCTTCATATGTAGACTTCTCACCTTCGCCCTAATGATTTGCTTATGATTTGTTGACAATGTCCTAAGATATTGACAATTCCCTATACAATTATTTTGGACCCAAATGTGTCACCTGGAAAACACCTGGCTGAAAATAGTTAAAATCACCAAGCATCTGCTCTTAAGGGCTAGTATTCATAAACAGACATAGCTGAGGTACCTCTCTCTTTGTAGAACACAGGGAAGTTCTAAACACGTGCTTCACAAGTGTCTCACAAGCAGTGAAAAGTGTAAAAGTGTAAAAAGGTGAGGCCTCAGGTAGGGAATTTGACCTTTGAAAGAACTTTGATGTTGTCCGTTGTCTGTGACCTCAGTCTCAATTTGACCTGGGTCACTTAGCCAGGTGGATACAACTGGTGTTCCTGATGCTATTCATTATACACGGTTGTCCGCACAATTGTAAATTCCTCAGAAGTTGGGATGGAGAGAGTGATGGATAGAGGAAAATGAACAGAAAGAAAGGGAGACTGAAAGGAGGAGAGAAATAGAGAACAACAAATAGACAGTGGAATGTAGACTGTGTGAGTGTTAGTACACTGTATACCTTTGTGTGTGCGCGCGTGCATGTGTTTGCGTGCACGTGTATGTGTGCACGTGTGGTTGTACAGAGGTAGTCTGAGCCTGGTCCAGCCTTGATGTATTGTTGCAAACAGCAGGACTGAAACATTGGCCTGCCGACAACTTGTCCTTTCTTTTTTCATGAATATTGTCGTTACCTTTGCCATAGAGGAGTGTGTGTCCTGGTTTATTGGCAGTAAGAGAGCAAGATAGCTCTACTGGGTTTATAGTGCACCGGTTCAAAGAGTCCCAACACCGCACCTGAGAGCCTCCACAATCCCCTGACCTCCACCCAATTGAGATGGTTTGGGATGAGTTGGACCGCAGAGTGAAGGAAAAGCAGCCAACAAGTGCTCAGCATATGTGGGAACTCCTTCAAGACTGTTGGAAAAGCATTCCAGGTGAAGCTGGTTGAGAGAATGCCAAGAGTGTGCAAAGCTGTCAAAAGGCTGTCACGCCCTGGCCTTGAGAGGCAGGTTCTCTTTAGTTGGTTTGGTCAGGGCGTGAGAATCTATGCTAGAAATTCTATGTTTATGTTCTAGGTATTGTATTTCTATGTTTGGCCGGGTGTGATTCCCAATCAGAGACAGCTGTCGCTTTTTGTCTCTGATTGGGGATCATACTTAAGTAGCCTGTTTGCCTACCTTAGTTGTGGGATCTTGTTCCGTGTTTAGGCTTGTATGTGTATAGCCTGAGGACTTCACGTTACGTTGTTTCTTGTTTTCTTTATGTTTATTGAGTTTAATAAACATGTTTGCATACCACGCTGCACCTTGGTCTGACCCGTCTCTCAACGATCGTGACAGAAGATCCCACCCCCAACGGACCAAAGCAGCGTGCTCAGGAGGAACAAACACCATGGACACAGGTGGGTAAGATGTGGTCTTGGGAGGAGATATTTGCGGGTAAAGGACCCTGGGCGAAGGAGGAAGCCCAGGCAGGAGAGGAGAAATGGCGACCCAAAAGGACTCGGTCAGGAAGAAAGCCCGGGAAGCAGCCCCAATAACATTTTGGGGGGGGGGCACACGGGGTGGTTGGCGGAGCCAGGGTTCAGAGCAGAGCCAACTCTCCGTAGTCACGCTAGGAAGCGTGTGACCGTGCAGGCTCCGTGTTATGCGGAGCTACGCAGTGTGTCGCCAGTGCGCCGGCACAGTCCGGTGCGTCCTGTGCTAGCGCCACGCACATGCCGTGCGAAAATGGGCATCAAGCCAGGACGGGTTGTGCCTGCTCAACGATCCTGGTCTCCAGTACGCCTCCTCGGTCCAGCATATCCTGCACCGGTTCTACATACTGTATCGCCATTGCGCGTGCACAGCCCGTGCCAGCTCCTCACACCAAACCAGGGGTGCCTGTCGCCAGCCCAGTACGCCCCGTACCTGCTCCCCGCACCAGGCCAGTGGTGCGTGTCTCCAGTCCGGCCCGGCCCGTGCCTGCACCTCGCACCAAGACAGTGGTGCGTGTTTCCAGTCCGGTACGACCCGTGCCTGCTCCTCGCACCAGACCAGTGGTGCGTGTCCCCAGTCCGGCCCGGCCCTGCTCCTCGCACCAGACCTGTGGTGCGTGTCTCCAGTCTGGCCCGGCCCGTGCCTGCTCCTCGCACCAAGCCAGTGGTGCGTGTTCCCAGTCCGGCACGGTCCGTGCCCATTCCACCGGTGCCCAGTCCAGCTCCGGTTAACGGTTCCACTCCGGAGCCAGAGAAGTCCGCTCCACCGGTGTTGTCCAGTCCAGCTCCGGTCAGCGGCTCCACTCCGGAGCCAGAGTAGTCCGCTCCACCGGTGCCTAGTCCAGTTCCGGTCAGCGGTTCCACTCCGGAGCCAGAGTAGTCTGCTCCACCGGTGCCCAGTCCAGTTCCGGTCAGCGGTTCCACTCCGGAGCCAGAGCAGTCCGCTCCACCGGTTGTTCAGTCCAGCTCCGGTCAGCGGCTCCACTCCGGAGCCAGAGTAGTCCGCTCCACCGGTGTTGTCCAGTCCAGCTCCGGTCAGCGGCTCCACTCCGGAGCCAGAGTAGTCCGCTCCACCGGTGCCTAGTCCAGTTCCGGTCAGCGGTTCCACTCCGGAGACAGAGCAGTCCGCTCCACCGGTGTTTAGTCCAGCTCCGGTCTGCGGCTCCACTCCGGAGCCAGAGTAGTCCGCTCCACCGGTGCCAAGTCCAGCTCCGGTCAGCGGCTCCACTCCGGAGCCAGAGCAGTCCGCTCCACCGGGATCCAGTTCAGCTCCAGTCAGCGGCGCCACTCCAGACCCAGAAGTCAGCCCCTCTCCAGGGTCGGGGCCTCCCACACCAGGGTCCAGACAGGGCTTGGTGCATCGCGGGAGGATTGCCGATCCAGGCCCAGCCGTCAGCCCCTCTCCAGGTTCGGGGTCTCTCACACCAGGGTCCAGACAGGGCTTGGTGCATCGTGGGAGGAAGGAGAGGGGAAGCATTGTGCCGAGGTCCAGACCAGACCAGGGGCGCAACGGGGAGGCAGAGAGGGAGAGGTCGTCACGCCCGGAGCCGGATCCGCCTCCGAGGCGGAATGCCCACCCGGACTCTCCCCTAATGAGTCAGGTTGGTGCGACCGGAGTACGCACCTTTGGGGGTGGGTACTGTCACGCCCTGGCCTTGAGAGGCCGGTTGTCTTTAGTTGGTTTGGTCAGGGCGTGAGAATCTATGCTAGAAATTCTATGTTTATGTTCTAGGTTTTGTATTTCTATGTTTGGCCGGGTGTGATTCCCAATCAGAGACAGCTGTCGCTCGTTGTCTCTGATTGGGGATCATATTTAAGTAGCCTGTTTGCCTACCTTAGTTGTGGGATCTTGTTCCGTGTTTAGGCTTGTATGTGTATAGCCTGAGGACTTCGCGTTACGTTGTTTCTTGTTTTCTTTATGTTTATTGAGTTTAATAAACATGTTTGCATACCACGCTGCACCTTGGTCTGACCTGTCTCTCAACGATCGTGACAAAGGCAAAGGGTGGCTATTTGAAGGATCTAAAATCTCAAATATATTTTGATTTGTTTAACACTTTTTTGGTTACTACATGATTCCATATGTGTTATTTCATAGTGTTGATGTCTTCACTATTATTCTACAATGTAAAAAATAGTAGAAAATAAAGAAAAACCCTTGAATGAGTATGTGTGTCCAAACTTTTGACTGGTACTGTAAGTATTCAGACCCTTTACTCAGTACTTTGTTGAAGCACCTTTGGCTGCATTTACAGCCTCAAGTCTTCTTAGGTATGACGCTACAAGCTTGGCACACCTGTATTTGGGGAGTTTCTCACATTCTTCTCTGCAGATCCTCTCAAGCTCTGTCAGGTTGAATGGGGAGCGTCGCTGCACAGCTATTTTCAGGTCTCGCCAGAGATGTTCGATCGGGTTCAAGTGCGGGCTCTGGCTGGGCCACTCAAGGACATTCAAAGACTTGTCCCGATGCCACTCCTGCGTTGTCTTGGCTGTGTGCTTAGGGTTGTTGTCCTGTTGGAAGTTGAACCTTCCCCCCAGTCTGAGGTCCTGAGCGCTCTGGAGCAGGTTTTCATCAAGGATCTCTCTGTACTTTGCTCCGTTCATCTTTCCCTCGATCCTGACTAGTCTCCCAGTCCCTGCCGCTGAAAAACATCCCCACAGCATGATTTTGCCACCACCATGCTTCACCGAAGGGATGGTGCCAGGTTTCCTCCAGACGTGATGCTTGGAATTCAGGCTAAAGAGTTCAATCTTGGTTTCATCAGACCAGATAATCTTGTTTCTCATGGTCTGAGAGTCCTTTAGGTGTCTTTTGGCAAACTCCAAGCGGGCTGTCATGTGCTTTTAACTGAGGAGTAGCTTCCGTCAGGCCACTCTACCATAAAGGCCTGTTTGGTGGAGTGCTGCAGAGATGGTTGTCCTTCTGGAAGGCCTCACCTTTCTACAGAAGAACTCTGGAGCTCTGTCAGAGTGACCATCAGGTCACCTCCCTGACCAAGACCCTTCTCTCCAGATTGCTCAGTTTGGCTGGGCGGCCTGCTCTAGGAAGAATCTTGGTGGTTCCAAACTTCTTTCATTTAAGAAAGATGGAGGCCACTGTGTTCTTGGGGACCTTCAATGCTGCAGATCTGTGCCTCGACACAATCCTGTCTCGGAGCTCTACAGACAATTCCTTCGACCTCATGGCTTGGTTTTTGCTCTGACATGCGTTGTCAACTGTGGGACTTTAAATAGACAGGTGTGTGCCTTTCCAAATCATGTCCAATCAGTTGAATTTACCACAGGTGGACTCCAATCAAGTTGTAGAAACATATCAAGAATGATCAATGGAAACGGGATGCACCTGAGCTCAATTTCGAGTCTCATAGCAAAGGGTCTGAATACTTACGTAAATAAGGTATTTCTGTGTCTTATTTTTAACAAATTTGCAAACATTTCTAAAAACCGGTTTTCGCTGTGTAGGTTGATGAGGAAATAAATTCATTTAATCCGTTTTAGAATAAGGCTGGAAAAAGGGAAGGGGTCTGAATACTTTCCGAATGCACTGTAGGCCTATGCAGTCATCGGTTTTCATTTGAAGCATATTTTAATCCTTCGCTTAACAATTGCAAAGATATTGGCAATTTTGTATTTGTAGTAGAGCTGGGCCATAATGAAGAAAATGCATATCGCGATAAATTGCCTGAATTTATGCAATAATGTTAAATAAAAGGATAAGTTTATAACATGAATGTGCACAACAGTTTTTTTAATCATCCTTTAAACTATTACTACTAGATTGATGGTTGTAGCCATCAATTATCCCATCAACAATCACCCATATTAGCAAACTTATTTCATTTCAAACTTCACATTTGTTTAGTATGGGCTACTTATCGTAATGAACAATATCAGCAAAATGCCTGCGATAAGTGATCGGTATGGTTGGTGTCAATTTTCGGTTTATCGGCCCATCTCTAATTTGTAGTCAACTTCATTATGAAGTTATCGGTGGTCACAGAGAGACAGAAAACCATCTTGATTCTTTGTTTAACAGAGATCTTCTGTGTATAATGTGGCGCGGTAGGGAAAAAATGCATCTAACGAAGTAATTAGCTGTTCGACGACTGGTCTGAGGCAGTCAGTAAATAACGAGCGTTTTAAAGAGCAACTTTATTAACAATGGTTTTGGGAAAAAGCTCAGAGATTTAACGATGCTCCTACAAAGGTTATAACGATTAACTTAGCCTTAAGATGCTTTTGGGAAACCAGGCCCAGATTGGTTACCTTTGAACTACAGTGATGCTTTCTTTACCTGATATGGGTTAATAGTAAAGTTGATTGTATCTATGTTTTTCAACAATATTGAAGCATGAACTAACTGCCTTTGGTTGGTCCTTTTATAACCATCTGAGAAGCTATAGATTTGTCTGGCTGTAAAAAGTGTGTGTTTCTGTGTTTCCAGTTCATCTAACTTGTGTTTTTCTTCCTGTGTATCCTGCAGCCATCCTGGAGGTCCATGAGGACTTCTTTGTCTATAAGAGTGGGATCTACAAACACACAGACGTCAGCTTCACCAAACCACCACACTACCGCAAACACAACACACACTCCGTCAGGATCACAGGGTAAGGCTGTCAATCATCTGCCATCTGGTAGAGCTTTGTGTTTTCTTTTATCCATTGTTATGTGATTACATTTCATTCGACATTCAGTATGTGGGAGGCAGTATAGGAAGAAAATGGCGGTATTACTTTGGATGTCTTGTGTTCAGTCTTCACCTTCCTCAAATGTTATTGTAGGCTAAATGCATTCAATATATCTTATCAAATGTTCCATAATTCATATCTAAGGCCGGGATTCAATACAAGGCCGATTATAGTGCAGCACACTATACAGGTGACAATGTAGCTGTAAATGACCTTTAAAGTCTGTTATAGCGCACTGTGCTATAATTCGCCTTGCATTGAATTCCGGCCTAAGTCTACCAACAATAGAAAACCTCAGTATACTTGTTTGCATTTGCCAAGTTATTAAATGATGAAACCATCTTCCTGTATACAGTCCCAGACCGCATGCTAGCACAGGTGTGTTATGTTCTTCAGTGTGACTAAGAGAGTTGCCCTCCCTCCCCGTCTGTCTGTCGCTCCTTCTGTTGGAGACACCTTGGCTCCAGTCCTCATTTCCCCAGACAAGCCCCTTAGTTACCACGGAGACCACAAAAATGCAGGCAGGCAGACACTACACACCTGGATCACCTCCCCATCCCTCCCTGTCACTCCCTATCACCCCACCCCCACCCCTCTGTCTCCCTCTGGGAGTGGAATCAACTAGTCCCTAGACACTGATCTAAGGTCAGTGTTGATGTTTGGAGGTTAGGTTTTGGGGAGGGTAAGCTGATCCTAGATATGTACCTAAGGGCAACTTCTATGAGGAGCGAACACTTCCTCCGAGACATTGTTCTCTCCACTCCCCCCCCCCAACCTATTACCACTAATCCCCAACACCCCATCCCGGCCAAATACTCACATTATAGTTTAGTCTGAGTGACCAGGTGTTTGTTTTGTGCTGTCTGTCTGGGCTGTCTATTCTAGGCATTACAAGCCTTGTGCCTAGAATGAGGAAAGATATGCGTTATGAACATACTTTCCCCTTGTAAAGATCCATTTGATGTGTTTTTCTATCTGGAAATTATCACCTTCTGAGTCTGTTAGCTACCGGTGGAATGTTTGGCTTGTGTGTGTGTATGCGCAAGAGTGTGTGTGTGTGTGTGTGTGTGTGTGTGTGTGTTTGTGTGTGCTCCAGCGTTGTGCAAAAACTGGAGTTGGAGGGTTTGTTGTCTTTGGCTTGAACAATGCTGTCAGTTGAATAAAAAGGAGCAGAGCCGCTGAGAGCCATCATGGAGGCAGTTTCTCTAACTCTTATCTGATCGGCCATTGATCAAGAGAAACAGAGCATGGAGATCCACTTCCTGCCCCGTCCTGCTGGCTCTGTTTGGGTCTCATGTGATATTGTGTCATTTAACTTTTAGTAATGTCTGTATTTGTCAGTGTGTATTTCTACCTGCATTTTTGAGGTATAATTCATAACCAGTGGGCATGTCTGAAGACTTTATTTACCTATACCTGGTTTGTCTCTGACATCAAGTGAGTGCTCTGTTTGCTTGGTTGTTTGTGAGTATGTATTTCACATGTATGTCATAAATGCAGTATATTAGATTATGTAGGCCATATACATAAATTCTGTATATATGGCTTTGTGGGGCTGTACAACTATGCTAAGTATTCTAGGTCAGGAAAGTCTAGGGCAGGGATCATCATCTAGATTTGGCCCGCAGGCCAATTTTTTCTTGAGCGGATGGTCGGGGGGCTGGAACATAATTACAAATAATTTGTAGACTACAAATTGACCGCAAAAAGCCCAAACAGATATAATGTTTGACTAAAACAAAATCGTTTCAAACCTTGCTTACATTTGTATATGATCACGTGTCTCTCTATTATGCGTGGGAATACTTGGGAAAATATTTCTTAAATTAAAATCACTTGGAGCTGATTTCCTGGTGTTTTTACAGTCTTTAATGTCCAACAATAAAAAAGAAAAAAAATATTGAAAGAAGTTGGGGAACCCTGGTCTAGGGTCTCGGTCTATCAAGGTCAATAGCATAAGGCTGATTCCCAAATGGCACCCTATTCCCTTTATAGTGCACTACTTTGACCAAGGCTCATAGTGCTCAGCTCAAAAGAAATGCTCTACATAGGGAATATGGTGCCATTTGGGGTGCACACTAGCTCTGGTCTGTCCTGGATCGCTGCTGGAGTCTGGTCTGTCCTGTCTGGTCTGTCCTGTCTGGTCGGTCCTGTCCTGTCCTGTCTGGTCTGTCCTGGCACACTGCTGGTGTCATGCTCTACTGATGATGATGATGATGATGATGGTTGAAGCTCATATTCCCCCTGCATCCAACCTCCGCTGACACTGCGGTTCTTTCGCTGGTTTGGGCCACGAACGCGAGGCTCGGTGGGCACTGAGGGTATGGATTTGGGGTCGGGGTGGGGGTGGGGGGAAGAAGGGGGGTCAGGACAGGGTGCGTAGAGCCTGACTGTCACAAGCACTGATGTTTTTACAAGCAAAATCCCGCTGCAGTGCGTTCTAGTAAGCCAAGGGCATGGGAAAGTTTGTGTTTAGGGCATTGAGGTCCACTCTGGTGGAAAGGGAATTGTCTGGTGTGTTGATCCCAACTGTACTGGACAGAGAGGGGATCAGACCCATAGAGGAGGTCAGGGGTAAGGTGGGGGAGGACTGGTATGTCCCTCATTGTCCAGGGGGAACAACGCTAACTGGGGGAGATAAGGGCTCCATAGTGGTCCAATTCTGTCTGGCTCTCTGGCTCTGCCCGTATACACACACACGTATACACACAAGTACACACACATACAAATGTGCACACACACACACACACACACACACACACACACATGCATGCACAAATGCACCCACACACACACACACACAAACGCACCCACACACACACACACAATTTAGCCTCCCAAAACACACATCCTGCCTTGCCTGGCTATCCATCCACATCGCTCCTGCCAAACGCCACGCCCACTAACATTTATTCTCCACCATGAGTCTGGATTTGATCACCTCCCAGACGACTTCTCGAAAGTTAACACATTCTAATCGTTCTTATTGGTCTCAGAAACCGATGGGTTGGGCCAGAGCCTGAACACACGTGGTTAAAACGGCGTGGGGACAACGTCCCTCACTTTGGTGTCAGCAGAAAGGGCTTCTAGGATGGCAGTCTCAGACTGAATATATGTAGCGATAGCGGAATTAAATCCAGTCTGAGTCTTCAGACAACCTCCAGTCTCCATCTATTTAAGATGTGGTTGTGATGTTTGTACAGCTGTTTGTATTTGCCTATTCAAAGCATGATGACCCTTGATCTCTTGTCCGAACCAGAGTCAAGTAATAAAGAGACTTGCTGAATGAAGATTGGCATTATTCGCAAATATTTTGGTGGCAGGCTACCGGGTTGGCAACAACTCCCGAGTGGCGCAGTGGTCTAAGGCACTGCATCGCAGTGCTAGCTGTGCCACTAGAGATCCTGGTTCGAATTCAGGCTCTGTCATAGCTGGTCGCGACCGGGAGACTCATGGGGTGGCACACAATTGGCCCAGCATCGTCCAGGGCAGGGGAGGGAATGACCGGCAGGGATGTAGCTCAGTTGGTAGAGCATGGCGTTTGCAACGCCAGGGTTGTGGGTTCGATTCCCACGGGGGGTATAACAAATAAAATAAAAAAATAACAAACTGTAAGTCGCTCTGGATAAGAGCGTCTGCTAAATGACTAAAATGTAAATGTAACTGAAAACACCACATCTCTTTCCCAGCATTCCTTTTCTCTTATAAAAGATGAGGCTCTAGAGGCCCTAGGGCCTGGTGTTCACAAACAGGATGGGAATAGAACTGGAGCAAGGGAGGGGGGAGGGAAATTAGGTCTGAGACGCAGGGACTCTGGGCCGTATCCGACTGGGGGCAACTGCCAGATAGGACCAGAAGCTAAAGATGATGGGAATTTATGGGCATTTGCCAGAAGGAGAGAGAGAGAGAGACCTCTGCAGGGGTAAGGTGAATTTATGAGAGCCTCACTCAACCTTCAGCAATGTTGTTGTTGTCTGTGAGATGACAGGAGTCGGGCGGTGACCACTTCTTCCCTGGCCGTCCATCTCCTTCCTGTTTCCTGCGCTGCGATGGGGGAAGTGGCAGAGGGGGGAATTCAGTGTGCTGCTGAGGAATCTGAATGATGTGGGATCAAATCAAATCAAATCAAATTGTATTTGTCACATGCGGCAAGTACAACAGGTGCAGACCTTACAGTGAAATGCTTACTTACAAGCCCTTAACCAACAATGCAGTTTTAAGAAAGAATACCAAAAAATAAAAATAAACACAATATAAAATAATACGAAATAAAAGTAACAAATAATTCAAGAGCAGCAGTAAAAATAACAATAGCGAGGCTATATACAGGGGGTGCCAGTACCGAGTCAATGTGCGGGGGCATCGGTTAGTCGAGGTAATTGGGGTAATATGTACATGTAGGTAGAGTTATTAAAGTGACTATGCGTAGATAATAAACAGTAGCAGCAGCGTAAAAGAAGGGGTGGGGGGGGGTTTATGGCTTGGGGGTAGAAGCTGTTTAGAGGCCTCTTGGACCTAGACTTGGCGCTCTGGTACAGCTTGCCGTGCGGTAGCAGAGAGAACAGTCTATGACTAGGGTGGCTGGAGTCTTTGACAATTCTTAGTGTTGAGGATCAGCGTGGCGGATGTGTTGTTACCTACCCTTACCACCTGGGGGCGGCCCGTCAGGTAGTCCAGGATCCAGTTGCAGAGGGAGGTGTTTAGTCCCAGGGTCCTCTGACACCGCCTGGTATAGAGGTCCTGGATGGTAGGAAGCTTGGCCCCAGTGATGTACTGGGCCGTACGCACTAACCTCTGTAGTGCCTTGCGGTCGGAGGCCGAGCAGTTGCCATACCAGGCAGTGATGCAACCAGTCAGGATGCTCTCGATGGTGCAGCTGTAGAACCTTTTGAGGATCTAAGGACCCATGCCAAATCTTTTCAGTCTCCTGAGGGGGAATATGTTTTGTCGTGCCCTCTTCACGACTGTCTTGGTGTGCTTGGACCATGTTAGTTTGTTGGTGATGTGGACACCAAGGAACTTGAAGCTCTCAACCTGCTCCACTACAGCCCTGTCGATGAGAATGGGGGCGTACTCGGTCCTCTTCTTTTTCCTGTCGTCCACAATCATCTACTTTGTCTTGATCACGTTGAGGGAGAGGTTGTTGTCCTGGCACCACACGACCAGGTCTCTGACCTCCTCCCTATAGGCTGTCTCGTCGTTGTCTGTGATCAGGCCAACCACTGTTGTGTCATCGGAAAACGTAATGATGTTGTTGGAGTCGTGCCTGGCCATGCAGTCATGAATGAACAGGGAGTACAGGAGGGGACTGAGCACGCACCCCTGAGGGGCCCCCGTGTTGAGGATCAGCGTGGCGGATGTGTTGTTACCTACCCTTACCACCTGGGGGCGGCCCGTCAGGAAGTCCAGGATCCAGTTGCAGAGGGAGGTGTTTAGTTGTCACGATCGTCGTACGGAATAGACCAAGGTGCAGCGTGATGAACGAACATGTTTATTTACCTTTAGTGATAAATACTGACAATGAACAAAACAACAAACGATTCGTAACGTCCTAGGTAACATAGACCAACACGGAACAAGAACCCACAAACACAAAGGGAAAAACAGACAGTTTAAATATGGCTCCCAATCAGAGACAACCAGCCACAGCTGACACTCGTTGCCTCTGATTGGGAGTCACTCAGGCCAACATAGAAATAAACAAACTAGAACTCCCAACATAGAAACAGAACACATAGAATGAACACACCCTGGCTCAACATATAGAGTCCCAGAGCCAGGGTGTGACAGTACCCCCCCCTAAAGGCGCGGACTGCGACCGCGCCTCAACTAGAGCAAAACAGGGGAGGGCTGGGTGGGCATTCCTCCTCGGCGGCGGTTCTGGCTCCGGGCTTGCCCACCACCCTCCAATACTCCCCCCATAGCGCCCCTGGTCCGGTCTGGCCCCGCTGGCTGGAGCTGAACTGGACGTAGCAGGAGCGGTTAGCTTCAGCTCCGTTGTGGAGCAGTTGAGCGGTACCTGATTAGGTACCGATGACCCAGGCACGGGTTGTGCCGGACTGACGACGCGCACCCCTGGCTTGGTGCGTGAGGCAGGAACGGACCGGACTGGGCTGACGATGCGCACCCCTGGCTTGGTGCGTGGAGCAGCAACGGGCCGGACCGGGCTGACGATACGCACCCCTGGCTTGGTGCGTGGAGCAGGAACGGACCGGACCGGGCTGACGATGCGCACCCCTGGCTCGGTGCGTGGAGCCGGAACGGGCCTCACCGGACTGACGACTCGCACCCCTGGCTTGGTGCGTGGAGCAGCAACGGGCCGGACCGGGCTGACGATGCGCACCCCTGGCTTGGTGCGTGGAGCCGGAACGGGCCTCACCGGACTGACGACTCGCACCCCTGGGTTGGTGCGTGGAGCAGCAACGGGCCGGACCGGGCTGACGATGCGCACCCCTGGCTTGGTGCGTGGAGCCGGAACGGGCTTTACCGGGCTGACGACTCGCACCCCTGGCTTGGTGCGTGGAGCAGCAACGGGCTTAACCAGGCTGACGACTCGCACCCCAGGCTTGGTGCGTGGAGCAGCAACGGGCCGGACCGGGCTGACGATGCGCACCCCTGGCTTGGTGCGTGGAGCCGGAACGGGCCTCACCGGACTGACGACTCGCACCCCTGACTTGGTGCGTGGAGCAGCAACGGGCTTTACCAGGCTGACGACTCGCACCCCTGGCTTGGTGCGAGTAGCAGGAACGGGCTGGACCAGGCTGACGACTCGCACCCCTGGCTTGGTGCGAGTAGCAGGAACAGGCCGGGCCGGGCTGGCGACGCGCACCGTAGGCTTGGTGCGAGTGGCAGGAACAGGCCGGGCCGGGCTGGCGACGCGCACCGTAGGCTTGGTGCGAGTGGCAGGAACAGGCCGGGCCGGGCTGGCGACGCACACCGTAGGCTTGGTGCGAGTGGCAGGAACAGGCCGGGCCGGGCTGGCGACGCGCACCGTAGGCTTGGTGCGAGTGGCAGGAACAGGCCGGGCCGGGCTGGCGACGCGCACCGTAGGCTTGGTGCGAGTGGCAGGAACAGGCCGGGCCGGGCTGGCGACGCGCACCGTAGCTTTGGTGCGAGTGGCAGGAACAGGCCGGGCCGGGCTGGCGACGCACACCGTAGGCTTGGTGCGAGGGGCAGGAACAGGCCGGACCGGGCTGGCGACGCACACCGTAGGCTTGGTGCGAGGGGCAGGAACAGGCCGGGCCGGGCTGGCGACGTGCACCGTAGCTTTGGTGCGAGTGGCAGGAACAGGCCGGGCCGGGCTGGCGACGCGCACCGTACACTTGGTGCGAGGGGCCGTAACAGGCCGGACCGTACTGGGGACACACACCACTGGCTCTACGCCGGGATCTGGAACGGGCCGGACCGGACTGGTAACACACCCCAGTACCTCTCGCCGTGCCTCTAAACCTTCTTTCCCTACTTTGACCAGTGGCCCCCGTAATCTGGTGGCCTTCTGAATACGCCCCTTTTCTGCCTCCGTCAGCCCTGTCGTCCATGCCGTGTGCCCCCCCCTAAAAATGTTTTGGGGTTGCCTCTCGTCAGCCCGACGACGACACTGATCACGCCGTTGCTCCTCTCTCCGTCGCCTCTCTACTGTCTCACTCCATGGCCGGCGATCCATCCCGGCCAGGATTTCCTCCCAGGTCCAGGACCCCTGCCCGTCTAAGATCTGCTCCCACGTCCAGGCTGCCTGCTCCTGGACACGCTGCTTGGTCCTTGTATGGTGGGTTCTTCTGTCACGATCGTCGTACGGAATAGACCAAGGCGCAGCGTGATGAATGAACATGTTTATTTACCTTTAGTGATAAATACTGACAATGAACAAAACAACAAACGATTCGTAACGTCCTAGGTAACATAGACCAACACGGAACAAGAACCCACAAACACAAAGGGAAAAACAGACAGTTTAAATATGGCTCCCAATCAGAGACAACCAGCCACAGCTGACACTCGTTGCCTCTGATTGGGAGTCACTCAGGCCAACATAGAAATAAACAAACTAGAACTCCCAACATAGAAACAGAACACATAGAATGAACACACCCTGGCTCAACATATAGAGTCCCAGAGCCAGGGTGTGACATTAGTCCCAGGGTCCTTAGCTTAGTGATGAACTTTGAGGGCACTATGGTGTTGAACGCTGAGCAGTAGTCAATGAATAGCAGTCTGCTAAATGACTTAAATGTAAATGTGTTCCTTTTGTCCAGGTGTGAAAGGGCAGTGTGGAACGCAATAGAGATTGCATCATCTGTGGATCTGTTGGGGCGGTATGAAAATTGGATGCAGGAGAGACGTGTGTGTGTGTGTGTGTGTGTGTGTGTGTGTTTGGGCAGTATAATCACTCTGGTGTTCCTTAGCCATGGTCATAAATAACGTCTTGTTTTCAGGATGCTGTTAGGAGATGAAAGATGTTTTGTACTCAGCATCTCTACCTATACTTATAGCTCTGACTCGAATTCCATGTCAGTTGTGTCAAAACACTCTCAGGTGTGCACATTCCTACGTGGGCGTGGGATGTATTTAAAAGCTACTTGTAAAAGGTTAAAAACAACACAATTCACAACAGAATAATTGTCCGATTATTTTTACTCCCAGTGAAAAATGAAGAAACCTCTGAAGTTCATAATAGTGTGTTCCCTTCAGTTGAAAACAATCATGTCAGTAATCCGTCTCTGTGTGTTCTGTTCCAGGTGGGGAGAGGACAGGAACTATGATGGGACAACAAATAAGTACTGGGTAAGTAATGGCTCCTCACATTACTCATCACATCTGTTTCTCTCTGTTGTGTCTCTTATTTGTGTAAATATCTTATGATGTATCTACCACAGGAGGATGGTGGCACCTTAATTGGGGAGGATGAGCTCGTGGTAATGGCTGGAGCAGAATCAGGGGAATGGTATCAAATACATCAAACACATGGTTTCCATGTGTTTGATGCCATTCCATTCGCTCCGTTTCAGCCATTGTTATGAGCCGTCCTGCCCTCAACAGCCTCCTGTGGTCTCTATCTACTATATCTACATTCTAACCCATTCCACTCTTTCTAATGACTTTTTCAGATCGCTGCCAACTCGTGGGGGAAGAACTGGGGGGAGAACGGCTACTTCCGTATCGCTCGCGGAGAGAATGAGTGTGAGATCGAGGCGTTCGTGATCGGCGTGTGGGGTAGGGTCACCATGGAAGACATGCAGAGCCACCATCACCACCAACACCGGCGACGCAAGTAGAGACAGACACTTTAGGAACCCAGCACCCCCAGAGCCCCTACCCTTCACCCCGTACCCACTTCTCTTCCTACCCTGGGGGAGCAACACAACCAGCCCCAGAGCCCCTACCCTTCACCCCATACCCAGTTCCCCTTCCTACCCTGGGGGACCAACACAACCAGCCCCAGAGCCCCTATCCTTCACCCCATACCCATTTCCCCTTCCTACCCTGGGAGAGCAACACAACCAGCCCCAGAGCCCCTACCCTTCACCCCGTACCCACTTCCCCTTCCCACCCTGGGGGAGCAACTCAACCAGCCCCATACTAAACTCTGGGGGAGCAACACAACCAGAACCCTGGAGTTCCCACTCTGACCCATGGAGGAACCAACTACCCCAAGAGCCCCTACTCTTACCCCCTTACCCCCATATCCCCTTACCCCACACTGGGGGTAATGAAACCCCAGCCGCCCCCAACATAACTCAAGGTTTATGGCACCAAAACAAGCTCATGGCCTGCAGGCCTCCCCGGCTTCAGGACACAGCAATAAGCGCCTCAGGACTCACTATCCCAAAGACCACACTTCCCAGACTCCTCGGCATCAACTGTTTACTTCCTGCTTCTGTTCAGAAGCCTTCACTTCCACTGCTATGAGGATGAAAGGACTGGCTTGATCTGAACTCTCTCTCTATCGCTCTCTCTCTCTTTGGATAGTGAGAACCAGAGAGACAGAATGGTAGATGATACAGGCACCAGAGAGAAATGAACAATCCACTTGTGTTACAGTTTAGTTAGTGGTATCACTGAGGACCTAACTCTTAATCATGCTAGCTACACTACCAGTCAAAGGTTTGGACACACCTACTCATTCAAGGGTTTTTCTTTATTTTTACTATTTTTTACATTGTAGAATAATAGTGAAGACATCAAAACTATGAAATAACACATATGGAATCATGTAGTAACCAAAAAAGTGTTAAACAAATCAAAATATATTTGAGATTTGAGATTCTTCAAATAGCCACCCTTTGCCTTGATGACAGCTTTGCACACTCTTGGCATTCTCTCAACCAGCTTCATGAGGTAGTCACCTGGAATGCATTTCAATTAACAGGTGTGCCTTGTTAAAAGTTAATTTGTGGAATTTATTTCCTTCTTAATGCGTTTGAGCCAATCAGTTGTGTTGTGACAAGGTAGTGTGGTATACAGAAGATAGCCCTATTTGGTAAAAGTCCATATTATGGCAAGAACAGCTCAAATAAGCAAAGAGAAACGACAGTCCATCCTTACTTTAAGACATGAAGGTCAGTCAATACGGAAAATGTCAACAACTTTGAAAGATTCTTCAAGTGAAGTCGCAAAATCCATCAAGCGCTATGATAAAACTGGCTCTCATGAGGACCGCCACAGGAATGGAAGACCCAGAGTTACCTCTGCTGCAGAGGATAAGTTCATTAGAGTTACCAGCCTCAGAAACTGCAGCCCAAATAAACGCTTCACAGAGTGAACAGAGTAACAGACACATCTCAACATCAACTCTTCAGAGAGGACTGTGTGAATCAGGCCTTCATGGTCGAATTTCTGCAAAGAAACCACTACTAAAGGACACCAATAAGAAGAAGAGACCTGCTTGGGCCAAGAAACACGAGCAATGGACATTACACCGGTGGAAATGTGTCCTTTGGTCTGGAGTCCAAATTTGAGATTTTTGGTTCAAACCGCTGTGTCTTTGTGAGACTTGGTGTGGGTGAACGGATGATCTCCGCATGTGTATTTCCCACCGTAAAGCATGGAGGAGTAGGTGTTATGGTGTGGGGGTGCTTTGCTGGTGACACTGTCTGTGATTTATTTAGAATTCAAGGCACACTTAAACAGCATGGCTACCACAGCATTCTGCAGCAATACGCCATCCCGTCTGGTTTGGGCTTAGTGGGACTATCATTTGTTTTTCAACAGGACAATGACCCAACACACCTCCAGTGTAAGGGCTATTTTACCAAGAAGTAGAGTGATGGAGTGCTGCATCAGATGACCTGGCCTCCACAATCCCCCGACCTCAACCCAATTGAGATGGTTTGGGATGAGTCGGATGGAAGAGTGAAGGAAAAGCAGCCAACAAGTGCTCAGCATATGTGGGAACTCCTTCAAGATTGTTGGAAAAGCATTCCAGGTGAAGCTGGTTGAGAGAATGCCAAGAGTGTGCAAAGCTGTCATCAAGGCAAAGGGTGGCTATTTGAATAATCTCAAATATAAAATATATTTTGATTTGTTTAACACTTTTTTGGTCACTACATGATTCCATATGTGTTATTTCATAGTTTTGATGTCTTCACTATTATTCTACCATGTAAAAAATAGTACAAATAAATTAAAACCCTTGAATGAGTAGGTGTGTCCAAACTTTTGACTGGTACTGTATATCATTGATTAATGTATTCCTATTACTGTCACAGATCTGCAGTTGCAGTTGCAGTAGCCACGCATCTCTCTACACATTCCAAAGAAAGCAGAATCTTACACTGGAAAGGGTGTTGGGCTAAGGCTTGGTGAAAGGTGGGGTTGAGGGTTTAGTGAACTTTCCTTTTGACCAATAATTTATTTCCCCTCATTTACCAAAAAACAATGTTTTATTTTTAGGTTAATCCCACTAAGTGCATAGTACAGGATTGAGTCTCAGCAAGCTCTGGAAATGTTCAGTACCACATAACCTGTCTGTTTATGGAAGACATGGTGTCAACCTTCAACTTAAATCTCATGACCATGACAGCTCTTCACTGAATCCAACTGCTTGAACATAACATTTCTGTATGAATAATATTAGTGGGTCAACCATTTATACATCTGCCTTAATAGACAGTATACACTCTTAGAAGTAATTGAGCCTGGAAGAACCTTTTGAGGTTCTAAAAACTGACACACAGGGGGAACCTTTTCAGTCCAAAAAGGTTCCTTGAGGAATCCCTCTGAAAAGGGTATTCGAGGAACCCCTGTGTAAAGGTTCAAATCGGAACCTTTTTTTGATGGGAGGGGTTCAATTTTGAACCTTTTTAATAATATATTGTAGAAGTGGAAGCCTCTCTGTTGAAAGTATCCACCGTTTGTGTATCATAGTCTTAGTCTGTTTCATTCTGTGTACACTGTGTTACGATGATGCTGAAAATATTATTATTGTTGCTGTTGTTGTATTTTACTCTTATTTTATTACTTGCTTTGAGATATGTGGTTGTCTCACACACTCACACACTCCCCCCTCCCCTGACCAGTTGCTTTGAAGAGTGCATGGGTGGTGCAAATACCTATTCTGAAAGGTGAACACACACAAAATCAAAGTGCCTGGCTCTAAGGAGAGGAGGAGGTCGGACTCAGCTGTCAAAGTCTGTTCAGTGCTGTTTCATTGTAGTATTTTTGTCAGTTCGATTATCTAAGCCTAATATTTCACAGACACAACATGCTACTAACACTTCAGTATTTAGTAATAGGCGTGTGTAGGCCTACAACAGACTCATTGTGACATTTCAAAGGTTGTGCATTTCCAAAGAAGTGTTAGGTAGGTAGCTCAAGCCTCAACTGAAGCCAGTGATCACACAGGTTCTGATATACTGATATAACTTGATTTAACTGCCTTATGTAATGTTGCCATAGGTGCTCTTTTTATACTTTCTCAAATGTTTTGAAATGTTGTTCCAATTTGAGATATATTTTGTGTGCCTATCATGAGTTTTTAAATGTCTCAGTTTCCAGAGGTGGCAACTGTCCTTTTAGAGACCACATCATGTATCAGTTCACACCGTGCAGTCTCACTTCACAATAAACTGCTTGGCTTCCCAGAAGTTATGTATTTTTAACTGTGCCACCTTTCCAATATGGCTTCATGTTTTCACATTGTTCATGTAAATCAGCCAGGCTCCTATACACAATTTCGTACATTTCAAGTAGGCCACAGTTTTAAACCCCATTACAACCATCACCTCATGAGAAAAGGATAGAGACGCAGGAAAACCGATATGTTCAGATGGACAAGCAATGTTCAATGTGGAGGAAGGGTACACTCTTAGAAAAAAGGGTTCCAAAAGGATTCTTCGGCTGTCCACATAGGAGAACGCTTTTTGGTTCCAGGTAGAACCCTTTTGGGTAATCTGGAGGTGAAAGAAACTCACACCTGTTTAGGAGAGGTGCTGGCTAGCGGATTAGAACACCTGTTTAGGCGAGGTGCTGGCTAACGGAGTAGAACACCTGTTTAGGAGAGGTGCTGGCTAACGGAGTAGAACACCTGTTTAGGAGAGGTGCTGGCTAGCAGAGTAGAACACCTGTTTAGGAGAGGTGCTGGCTAGCAGAGTAGAACACCTGTTTAGGAGAGGTGCTGGCTAACGGAGTAGAACACCTGTTTAGGAGAGGTGCTGGCTAGCAGAGTAGAACACCTGTTTAGGAGAGGTGCTGGCTAACGGAGTAGAACACCTGTTTAGGAGAGGTGCTGGCTAGCGGAGTAGAACACCTGTTTAGGAGAGGTGCTGGCTAGCAGAGTAGAACACCTGTTTAGGAGAGGTGCTGGCTAACGGAGTAGAACACCTGTTTAGGAGAGGTGCTGGCTAGCGGAGTAGAACACCTGTTTAGGAGAGGTGCTGGCTACGAGAGTAGAAACACCTGTTTAGGAGAGGTGCTGGCTAACGGAGTAGAACACCTGTTTAGGAGAGGTGCTGGCTAGCAGAGTAGAACACCTGTTTAGGAGAGGTGCTGGCTACGGAGTAGAACACCTGTTTAGGAGAGGTGCTGGCTAGCGGAGTAGAACACCTGTTTAGGAGAGGTGCTGGCTAGCGGAGTAGAACACCTGTTTAGGAGAGGTGCTGGCTAACGGAGTAGAACACCTGTTTAGGAGAGGTGCTGGCTAACGGAGTAGAACACCTGTTTAGGAGAGGTGCTGGCTAACGGAGTAGAACACCTGTTTAGGAGAGGTGCTGGCTAGCAGAGTAGAACACCTGTTTAGGAGAGGTGCTGGCTAACGGAGTAGAACACCTGTTTAGGAGAGGTGCTGGCTAGCGGAGTAGAACACCTGTTTAGGAGAGGTGCTGGCTAGCGGAGTAGAACACCTGTTTAGGAGAGGTGCTGGCTAGCGGAGTAGAACACCTGTTTAGGAGAGGTGCTGGCTAGCGGAGTAGAACACCTGTTTAGGAGAGGTGCTGGCTAGCGGAGTAGAACACCTGTTTAGGATAGGTGCTGGCTAGCGGAGTAGAACACCTGTTTAGGAGAGGTGCTGGCTAGCGGAGTAGAACACCTGTTTAGGCGAGGTGCTGGCTAGCGGAGTAGAACACCTGTTTAGGCGAGGTGCTGGCTAGCGGAGTAGAACGCTTGGAAAAGAAAAGGAGAGCCGCACACTCTAGGAGCTCAGACGCAATAATTTAATAACCTAATAACCAACGTTTCGATAGACAAGCTGTCTTCATCAGGGTATAATTTAGCAATAAGGCCCGAGGAGGTGTGGTATATGGCCAATATACCACGGCTAAGTGCTGTTCTTAGCACGACGCAACAAGACAGGATTGTGTCGAGGCACAGATCTGGGGAAGGGTACCAAAAGATGTCTGCAGCATTGAAGGTCCCCAAGAACACAGTGGCCTCCATCATTCTTAAATGGAAGAAGTTTGGAACCACCAAGACTCGTCCTATAGCTGGCCGCCTGGCCAAACTGAGCAATCAAAGGAAAAGGGCCTTGGTCAGGGAGGTGACCAAGAACCCGATGGTCACTCTGACAGAGCTCCAGAGTTCCTCTGTGGAGATGGGAGAACCTTCCAAAAGGACAACAATCTCTGCAACATTCCACCAATCAGGCCTTTATGGTAGAGTGGCCCGACGGAAGCCACTCCTCAGTAAAAGGCACATGACAGCCCGCTTGGAGTTAGCCAAAAGGCACCTAAAGGACTCTCAAACCATGATAAACAAGATTCTCTGGCCTGATGAAACCAAGATTGAACTCTTTAGCCTGAATGCCAAGCGTCACATCTGGAGGAAACCTGGCACCATCCATATGGTGAAGCATGGTGGTGGCAGCATCATGCTGTGGGGATGATTTTCAGCGGCAGGGACTGGGAGACTAGTCAGGATCGAGGGAAAGATGAACTGAGCAAAGTACAGAGAGATCCTTGATGAAAACCTGCTCCAGAGGGCTCAGGACCTCAGACTGGGGCGAAGGTTCACCTTCCAACAGGACAATGACCATAAGCACACAGCCAAGACAATGCAAGAGTGGCTTCGGGACAAGTCTCTGAATGTCCTTGAGTGGCCCAGCCAGAGCCCAGACTTGAACCCGATCGAACATCTCTGGAGAGCTGAAAATAGCTGTGCAGCGACGCTCCCCATCCAACCTGACAGAGCTTGAGAGGATCTGCAGAGAAGAATGGGAGATACTCCCCAAATACAGGTGTGCCAAGCTTGTAGCATCATACCCAAGAAGACTCAAGGCTGTAATCGCTGCCAAAGGTGCTTCAACAAAGTACTTAATAAAGGGTCTGAATACTTACGTAAATGTGATATTTCTGTTTTTCGTTTTTAATAAATTTGCAAGAGTGTGCAAAGCTGTTGTCACGAACGTCAGGGAGAGACCAAGGCGCAGCGTTGAATGCGTACATATTTATTAATAGAATGATCACACGATCAAAACAACGGACGATAACGTGATGTCTACGGTTTAACACAAACCAAACAAGAACAAGAAACCACAAACACAAAGTGAAAGACAGACAGTTAAATATGGCTCCCAATCAGAGACAACCAGCTGACACTCGTTGCCTCTGATTGGGAGTCACTCAGGCCAACATAGAAATACAAACATAGAATTACACACCCTGGCTCAACATAACAGTGTCCCCAGAGCCAGGGCGTGACAGTACCCCCCCCCTAAAGGCGCGGACTCCGACCGCGCCAACTAAATACCACAGGGGAGGGACCGGGTGGGCACTCCGCCTTGGCGGCGGATCCGGCTCCGGGCCTGATCCCCACTCCCTCTCAATCAATCAATCAATTTTATTTTATATAGCCCTTCTTACATCAGCTAATATCTCGAAGTGCTGTACAGAAACCCAGCCTAAAACCCCAAACAGCTAGTAATGCAGGTGTAGAAGCACGGTGGCTAGGAAAAACTCCCTAGAAAGGCAAAACCTAGGAAGAAACCTAGAGAGGAACCAGGCTATGAGGGGTGGCCAGTCCTCTTCTGGCTGTGCCGGGTGGAGATTATAACAGAACCATGCCAAGATGTTCAAAAATGTTCATAAGTGACAAGCATGGTCAAATAATAATCAGGAATAAATCTCAGTTGGCTTTTCATAGCCGATCATTAAGAGTTGAAAACAGCAGGTCTGGGACAGGTAGGGGTTCCATAACCGCAGGCAGAACAGTTGAAACTGGAATAGCAGCAAGGCCAGGCGGACTGGGGACAGCAAGGAGTCACCACGGCCGGTAGTCCCGACGTATGGTCCTAGGGCTCAGGTCTCTCAGTTGGCTTTTCATAGCCGATCATTAAGAGTTGAAAACAGCAGGTCTGGGACAGGTAGGGGTTTCGTAGCCGCAGGCAGAACAGTTGAAACTGGAATAGCAGCAAGGCCAGGCGGACTGGGACAGCAAGGTGTCATCATGCCCGGTAGTCCTGACGTATGGTCCTAGGGCTCAGGTTCTCAGAGAGAAAGAGAGAACGAGAGAATTAGAGAGAGCATACTTAAATTCACACAGGACACTGGATAAGACAGGAGAAGTACTCCAGGTATAACCAACTAACCCTGAGCCCTCTCCAACCCCCCAAAGTACCCCTGGTCCGGTCTGGCCCCGCTGGCCGGAGCTGGACTGCACACTGATGGAGCGGATTGCTCTAGCTCCGGCGTAACGCATCTGACCGGTGCCGGACCAGGCACCAGTGGAACAGGCACGGGCCGTGCCGGACCGACGACGCACACCACTGGCTTGGTGTGGGGAGCAGGAGCGGGCCGGACCGGGCTGACGAAGCGCACCACTGACTTGGTGCGGGGAGCTTGGATGGGCCGGACTGGGCTGGTGACGCGCACCACAGACTTGGTGCGGAGAGCAGGAACGGGCCGGACAGGGCTGATGAAACGCACCACAGACTTGGTGCGGGGAGCAGGAATGGGCCGGACTGGGCTGGCGACGCACACCACAGACTTGGTGCGGAGAGCAGGAACGGGCCGGACAGGGCTGACGAAATGCACCACAGACTTGGTGCGGGGAGCAGGAATGGGCCGGACTGGGCTGGCGACGCGCACCACAGACTTGGTGCGGAGAGCAGGAACGGGCCGGACAGGGCTGACGAAACGCACCACAGACTTGGTGCGGGGTGCAGGAATGGGCCGGACTGGGCTGGCGACGCGCACCACAGACTTGGTGCGGAGAGCAGGAACGGGCCGGACAGGGCTGACGAAACGCACCACAGACTTGGTGCGGGGAGCAGGAATGGACCGGACCGTACTGGGGACACACACCACTGGCCCTACACCGGGATCTGGAACGGGCCGGACCGGACTGGCAACACACGCCAGTACCTCTCGCCGTGCCTCTACATCCTCCATCCCCTCTTCGACCAGTGGCCCCCGTAACCTGGCGGCCTCCTCTGGCAACCCGCTGGGCCGCTCTATCGCGGCCTCCTGCTGGTCCGACGTCGTGAGCCCCCCCCTAAAAATTTTCTGGGAGTCTCTCCTCCCCGTGGGCGAGATAATTCTCGCCCAACTCTCGCTCTTCTGCTTCCAATCTCCGCCATTCAGCTCCTCATTCGGCTTGACCCAGTCGAAGCTCTGCCTCCACTGTTGCCAAGTCCACCCACTCTGCTCCTCACTAGGCTGCTTGGTCCAGTTCTGGTGGTTTCTTCTGTCACGAACGTCAGGGAGAGACCAAGGCGCAGCGTTGAATGCGTACATATTTATTAATAGAATGATCACACGATCAAAACAACGGACGATAACGTGATGTCTACGGTTTAACACAAACCAAACAAGAACAAGAAACCACAAACACAAAGTGAAAGACAGACAGTTAAATATGGCTCCCAATCAGAGACAACCAGCTGACACTCGTTGCCTCTGATTGGGAGTCACTCAGGCCAACATAGAAATACAAACATAGAATTACACACCCTGGCTCAACATAACAGTGTCCCCAGAGCCAGGGCGTGACAGCTGTCATCAATGTAAAGGGTGGCTATTTGAAGAATCTCAAATATAAAATATATTTTGATTTGTTTAACACTTTTTTGGTTACTACATGATTCCATATTTGTTATTTCATAGTTTTGATGTCTTCACTATTATTTTACAATGTAGAAAATAGTAAAAATAAAGAAAACCCTTGAATGAGTAGGTTTGTCCAAACCTTTGACTGGTACTGTAGGCCTACAAACATTATTTACAATGGATAGCAAAAACACAATAATCACAAGAATGGCTTCAGATCAAAGGCTACGTTGAGACAGAAGGGAGCAAGGGTCTTTAAATGAAAGATCCAGGCGGCCTCTAGTTTTAACAATAAACTGTCAAGGTCACCCGCTCTCCTAGGGAGGGTGACATGTTCGATGCCGATATAACGTAATAGAGTGGTTCACTTCCAAAAAGTGGGCCGCAACTGGCTACGTCAAGTTTTTTGCACCTAATGGTTCTATGATGCTCCAAGATTCGTACTTCGCGCTTCGTTGTACCCACATAGGTTTTACCACAAGGACAAGCTATAAGATAAATTAGCCTTAGTGGAGCACGTAATAACACCTTTGATTGGGATCTGTTTCCCTGTTTGGTGGTGTTTGAAGGATCTACATTTGTAAGTGCCATTGCATTGAGCACAGCCATTTCACTTGTAGTTTCCATCCGGTAGAGACGCAAATACACGCTGTGCAGGGGTATTTTGGGGTGGTAAATCAGAGTTTACCAATTAATCGCTGAGATTTCTGCCCAGCGAGAATATGACCAAGGGAGGGTCCGAAAACACATTACCGATACTGTCATCGGATCTTAGAATGTGCCAATTTTTTGAATGATTCCCTTCATTTGTTCGGAGCACTTTGAATAGCGGGTAGTAAGAACGCAAGAATGCTTCTTTTTGCGAGACTGTCATTGAAAGAGATCATGTCTCAATTTGTTTTGGATTTTCTCAATGGCAGTATTCATCTGACCGTTTTTGTGCCCACTCTCCCTGAATTTTCTTTGCATCTCAGCCATATTTCTGTAGAAATCTGATAGTTTTTTGCAAATTCCTTTGATTCGACAGAATTAGCTGTAGGGCAAACAGTTTTCAAGGGAAGTGGGTGAAAGGGTTCTACATGGAAACCAAAAGGGTTTTACCTGGAACATTTAAGGGTTCTTCAAAGGGTTCTCCTATGGGGACAGCCGAAGAACCTTTAAGGTTCTAGATAGCGCCTTTTTTTCTAAGAGGGTAGGCTATAGGAGGTAGAGCAGACATAGCTGTGTGTTGTGTGAGCCATGCAGTCTACAGAATATTTACTTTAATTGGAAATGGCGCGCGAGAGAGGATGAGTATGACTCTGCTGGTCATCTACTGTATGAACGTTTGAACATCTTGAAGAACGATCTGGCCTTAATGGCCATGTACTCTTATAATCTCCACCCGGCACAGCCAGAAGAGGACTGATCACCCCTCAGAGCCTGGTTCCTCTCTAGGTTTCTTCCTAGGTTCCTGCCTTTCTAGGGAGTTTTTCCTAGCCACTGTGCTTCTACATCTGCATTTGCTTGCTGTTTGGGGTTTTAGACTGGGTTTCTGTATAGGCACTTTGTGAAATCTGCTGATATAAAAAGGGCTTTATAAATACATTTGATTTGATTAAGGGAGGATGATGTGGCCAGGGTTGGGGTGAGGTGCATCATGGGTTCACGAGGCATGACAGTGCAGAAATAATTGATAACAGAAGGGAGGTGGAGATGGAGGTTGGGACTGGGGGGAGTCAATGACAGGTTGTTGTGTCATAATCTTTTCTTTACACTTTACAAAATATTTATGAGTAGAATTGTGAGGTGTTCCCGCATTATTAATTTATTCTAGATTTTACATTACCATTATAAGCTACCATAACTGTTCATAGATATAACCTTGCAGTTTATTGGTGCAAGTCAAATCTGTTTATCCTTTAAAATAATGTTATAGTACTATCCCATTAGTCTATAGGATGCAGCCCCTAGCCACTGAAAAACAAAAGGGCTGTGTCCCAAATGGCACCATATTCCCTATATAGTGCACTACTTCGACCAGGGCCAAGGGCAATATGGGCCCATTAGGCCATTAGGGCCTACTGTATGAGGTTATTGTCAAACTGTTGGCTAACCAGATGGATCCCCTTTCCCATGCAGTCATCCAGACAGCTGTATCCTTATAGGGATAAACCAGTGATAGACAGATAAGCCTGTCTGGATCAATGGGACGAGAGGAGCAGGCGATTGGATCCAAGTCATGCGGAGAAAAGGGGTGGAATTTGTCCAAAGCTGGATCCAAGTCGGACCGACTGTTCTTTTTCAGTTTGAGTGACTCCTGAGTGCGATTAGTCTGCCCATTCAAGGTGCCAAGATCCGTAGACAGAAGGTCCTAGAGGGATACTAATGAAAGATGTAAGTGGATAAGGGGCACAGCACTCTCTCCATGGACAAACAATGAGTTATGACATCTTGGTCATCAACAGGATCTTCGTCTGTCAGCCATTTTGGATGGTATTCAGGTAGTACAATTTCTCTGACATTGAAGAGCTGCTCACTCACTCAACCAACCAAAAATCTTATACTACAGTACTGTCCTTCAAAAACACTCTCAAAACATTTACAGAACTCCAGTCAGAAGTTGTGTATTCAAAGTCAAAGAATCACTTCATATTCAGTGATACATAGACTTTATTTATGATGTGGCAAGATGTGTAAATTATATAATATGTTATGTTTATTATTATTAGCTGATCTTTCTGTCTCTTGTATTGTGAGTACTAAATGAAAAACCACCATAGTTTTCACCTGTGAGGCACAATAAAGTCTCTTAAAACAACCATCCATGTGTGACTCATGGTCTAATAATGGAACACAATACCCAACATAATACAAATGTAACCAGCAGCCGAGTCAAAATGTAGAAATAAGGATATGAAATTGTTTGTTAATGTCAACTGTTCATTTCCCTTGGGGAAAAGAGTTGAAGCATTGTCTTGGCAAACGTTTTCACATTAAAGAAATGTAAAAGAAAAAGTAACTAGTAGTGTCTGGAACTATAATTCATAAACAAGTGTAGTCAGAGAGAGAAAATTGTCAGAGGACAGCTGGCGTTTAGTTTTGGGAGCTGTTGGCTGTTGGCGAGGGGGGCGAGGGGGGTAGAGGGTGGGGGCACAGAGAGGTCTATGGGACGGGTGAGGGACGAGGGTGGGATGAGGACAGTTTGTATAGGACAGTGCTGTGTCAGCTCACTCCACCACCACTGAGAGTCATAACTCAGACGGACAGACAGACAGACAGACAGACAGACACAGGCCAGGGACAAAAACCTGGGGAAAGAGGGTTATAGAATTCTTATACTTTGCGTGAGAGTTAGTTACGTTGTTTCTGTGTGTGTGTGTGCTTGTGCGTGTATGTTTGCATGTGTGAATGTGCATGCCTGTGTGTGTACCTGCTTGTGCATGTCTGTGTGCAACTAGCTCTCACAGTCTCACGTCAGAATTAGACATTCATCCATGTTTCGCAAATTTCGAAGTGTTTAAGGTTAAGTTTAGGCATTAACACCGAAATCTTAAGGTTAGGCATTAACTCCGAATCGTTAAGGTAAGGGTTAAGGTTTGGGATAGGCTTAAAACAAAACTAACTTTCTATCACTGGATTCAAACTTGCAGCCTTCGAAATCAGAGGCAGATTCTTACGCCCATCCGCCATCCCTGTCCACAACACTCTAGCAAAACCAAAACCTATTTGAAGATAACAGCGCTCACTGTTGCCCCTAATGATCGGTTTCCACGTCATCTCCCGATGTGTGTGTGTTGGGTGCGTGCTTGTGTGCATATGTTTGTTCGTGCAAGCTTGCGTGTGTATTGTGTGTGTGTGTGTGTGTGTGTGTGTGTGTGTGTGTGTGTGTGTGTGTGTGTGTGTGTGTGTGTGTGTGTGTGTGTGTGTGTGTGTGTGTGTGTGTGTGTGTGTGTGTGTGTGTGTGTGTGTGTGTGTGTGTGTGTGTGTGTGTGTGTTGCAATGGGTTCAGCCAACGAAAAAAAGAGGAATTTGATCAGTAACAGTTTTCATACCATAATCCCAGACAAACATTGTCACACAAACAAATCTATGTGTAATACTGTCAAAGAGTACAGATAGCATCCACTTGTGACTCTCTAGAACATTTTACATTTACATTTTAGCAGACGCTCTTATCCAGAGCGACTTACAGTTAGTGATTACATATAATTTTTTTATACTGGCCCCCCATGGGAATCGAACCCACAACCCTGGCGTTGCAAACGCCATGCTCGATCAACTGAGCTACATCCCTGCCGGCCATTCCCTCCCCTACCCTGGACCAATTGTGCGCCGCCCATGAGTCTCCCGGTCGCGGCCGGCTGCGACAGAGCCTGGATTTGAACCAGGATCTCTAGTGGCACAGTTAGCACTGCGATGCAGTGCCTTAGACCACAGCGCCACTCAGGAGGGAACCATGTGATGGTGGAGAATTATCCCCAAATTTACCCTCTGTTTGCAGACAAACCTGTTTTGCTGTCACTGTTATTGGTTTTATGAAGACCTTCACACTGAGAAGGCTGTTAAACTGAAACGACTGATATGCTATCCATGATGCAGTAAAAATAATAAAATAAAAGTAAGCTTAATGCTAAATATTTTTCAGTGCGGACCCATTACATTTTTGCTGGTCCAGATTCACTGTTACTGGCAATGAATAAATCTGTCCAGAACAGTACACTGTGTGGACCAAGGGGGCCAAGTAAGGATGCCAAAGGCACCAAGTAAGGAAATTTGGACAGAGGCATGCGTTTGGTGACTACGTATTTACATTTCTCTCATTGTTCCTGGTTCAGGAATAGCCCAATCACCCATTACCTCAACGCATACTGTTTCTTTCCCTTCCAGATGATGATAATTGCTGAATATCTCAGTTGAGGAGGAAGCTGTGATTATGGACTTGGCATTGGAAAGAACATGTCACCACCCCACCCCACCCCGGTGGTCCAGGAATTATCCGTCACATTCTGTTCTTCCTCACATTATAGCCCCCCCCCCCCCCCCCCGTGTTCCTTCAGTAGTTCTGTTAAACCTAAAATATTCTTGAAGACATCAACAACCGTAAAGGACAATGGGAGTTTCCACAGGACGAGGGCTGGGGTTCGCGGGAAGCCCTTTATCACAAACAACTAAGCTGTGAAATAAAGGTGACTGGCTTCACTCTTAGCGTGTGGGATTGTTATCTCCTGTCAGACTGTTGACATCATGCCAGTTCATGTAGCCCTAGTGAACCCCCTGAGAAACCTTTTGGATTTTACCTTGATGTATTGTTTCCACTTGGTTGTGCAATAGTTTCATTATTACAGATTATACAACGGTTGGGTGACGTGGGTCTAATCCTGAATGCTGATTGGTTAAAACCGCATTCCAGCCGGTGTCTATTCCAGAATTACCACCGGGTAAATGTTAAAATGCCAATTTACTCTGTTCCATCTGACTGCGCAATCCGCTGTCTCATCAGCCCAGCCAAGCAATTTACAAACTTGATCTCCACTATAACAAGCATCTAGACATGTCCTGGAGGTCTCATGTTTTAGCCACATTGGGCCCACTCTTTAACGCTGCGCCTCTGGGAGAGTAAAAACATGATTCATTGTGGTACATATAGAACAAGGAAAATAATATCCACAATGTATGACAAATCTTTACCTGTTGCAAGGTGTGGTCCTCTTTCACCATCATCCGGTTGCTTTGGCTATGGGATTACCCAGGCAACAGAAGCAACTCATCTAGCGGTATGTGCGAAGCCCTGCTCATGAAAGCTGGTTTAGTGCCGCCATCTTGTGGTGAAACTTTGTGTGCATCACGTATAAGACGGCCATCCTCACTAACACAACCCATATCTAAAATCTCTTCTCAGAAAGAGGTCAAAATAAGTAATTGAAAGGTGGACCTTGCATTAAGGATCAACTTAGAGGCAACAGAACATTTAGATAGGAACTTTATTGGAAAATATGAGAAATTGCCAAGTCAGCATGGCTGCCATATTCCTAATCAAAACTACAAACATTTGCATGTACAAAAAGTCTGTTGTCATCTCGCGTATATGCTTTTGAAAAGGGCACTAAGGAGATATAATAACCCTTGCAGTGTCAGCCATTTTGAAACATATTATCCTGTTAACTCCTGTTAAAAATGGCTGACAATGCAAGGGTTATGATATCTCCTTAGTGCCCTTTTCAAAAGCATATACGTGAGATGACAACAGACTTTTTGTGGACACACCTACTCATTCAAGGGTTTTTCTTTATTTTTACTATTTTCTACATTGTAGAGTGAAAATGAATGGTATAGTAGTGTCATGCCCAAACACTAGGTGGCACCCTTTTGTAACATTTCTCCTGATGTTCAAGTCAACATTTTAACATTTACAGTCATTTAGCAGACTGTCCATTGCTATCCCCCCCCCTGGTGGGCGAAGCTGCCTGACAGGCGGTACTACATCCAGTAGTCTGTTGCCGTGGAGACCAACAGCAGGATGTTCCCCACCATGGCACAGAACAGGCCCCCTCCCGTGAAGCTATACATCCTGAGAGATGCTGCTGTGGCCGCTGCGTGGTACCTGATACCGCATGGGAAGAGGAGGGAGAGGGGGATAAACAAACCTGGATTATATTACGTATTGAAGGTATTGAATGACAGACACTTAGTTTGCTATGGTCACCTCGTAGCTCCTGATACTGGGGAGGGGCGTGAGGGAGTTAGACACACCTGTACTGATACTGGGAGGGGGATGAGGAAGTTAGACACCTGTATCTGTCTGATTTGATCTTTATAACACACACTCATTATTCCATGCTGTGGTGCAGACTTCAATAGAAACATTAATACGTTTAGTACTAGTCTTGACACTGGGGATAAGTGTTACATGGTGACAGTGGACAACAAAATCGAATAGACAATGTACAAATCGCTGAGTATCAATGATCTCAAATCACATATATTACAGAGCTTATATTTAATATCAGTTGTGCTCGCTCATAAGCACTACTTTATATGATGCTATGGCAAACACAATAAGTCAGAAACAATCAAAGCTTGACGACTAGAATCAAAGCTTGACGACTAGAATCAAAGCTTGACGACTAGAATTAAAGCTTGACGACTAGAATTAAAGCTTGACGACTAGAATGAAAGCTTGACGACTAGAATCAAAGCTTGACGACTAGAATGAAAGCTTGACGACTAGAATTAAAGCTTGACGACTAGAATCAAAGCTTGACGACTAGAATGAAAGCTTGACGACTAGAATGAAAGCTTGACGACTAGAATTAAAGCTTGACGACTAGAATCAAAGCTTGACGACTAGAATCAAAGCTTAGCGGCTAAAGACATGCTAAGGGATTATTACTTAATTTGAGCAATTTACATTTTGTATGTCTTAAAATGACACCTGTTAACATATATGAACATGTGCTCCATATATCATAAACGAACATTGTCATGGAATGGATGTTTACAACTAGCAGCGTTAAACATCAGCTCTTTTGATCAACGCTTATTCAATCACTAGTTCACCAATGTCTTCACCTTTCAGACTTCAGTTCACCATTAGGTTGAGTAACTGTCTCTGGCAAAACTATAAATTTTTATCAAGGGAACATTATATAGATATATTTAGGATGCCCCTTACCTTGTTCCTTCAGTAAAAGCACCCTCTTAACTGTCTACCTTTCTGGTGAGAAAGGGAGAGAGGGATAGAGGGAAAGAGAGAGAGAGAGAGAGAGAGAGAGAGAGAGAGAGAGAGAGAGAGAGAGAGAGAGAGAGAGAGAGAGAGAGAGAGAGAGAGAGAAGGAGAGGTTGCGAGCTTAGGAGGAGAGATAGGAGAATGAAAGAGAACTCCACTGGGCTGAATTCCAAAAAATTGGTCCCCATGTAACAGATGTACTTCAACGAGCCATCGCAGGGGGCACGGGATCACGTGACTCCCTTAGTCCTTTCAGTGTGGGCTGCTGGGAGGGGGTTAGGGTAGGCTTTGGCTGGGGGGCTCCATATTCTTTATGTTTGTTTGTATTTGGTATGTTCTAGAATTGTGGGTGTGCATAGGTATGCAGTACTGCTGGAGTCAATGCAACATGCTGAAGCCAACATTTTTCCTTTCAATGGATCTGGGGCTGTGGCGGCATGGATAGACAGTTAGACACACATACAGGGAGGGATGGCCCCTCTGTCTAACTGGTTGTCCTCTCTCTAATATACAGAATACATCTGTAATCTGTAGCTCACCTGCGTCCTCATAATACTGTTTTTAATATACACTGTTAGTTGAGCAATGTGATCATAGTTTTCCATGTCACAGTATTTGAACAGTGTATACACACTTCAATACACTCACACTAACCACACTAACAACACACACACACACACACACTGCTATTCTCAAGACAGCTACCAACGGTTCTGTGAGGCCTGAGTAAGGGATAGGTCATCTTCGACTGACAGAAATGTCATACCCTTCATCAAAAGCCACCACCACTGCGGCATTTAACAGAATAAATGGATCAAATCATAGCAATTAGAACTGCCATTTCATTTCACACAATCTTCCAATCAGTGTTAGCATTTATTCATGTGACAGATGGCCTGAGGATGCAGACGCCACAGATGCAGATAAGGGGTTTTCTTTTTGCTTCATTATGCAAGGCGGTGGGTGCGTGGTGATAACCTTATAGAGATAAAAGTGATGGTTGACAATTTCAGGACCTGTGAAACCGAGACTGTGCATATGGAGATTAAGATCTAAATCAGTGTTACATATGCTATCTGCTTTTCTTTTTCTTAAAAAAAAGTAGCCTACAACAGCTTTGTCAAACTTCTATTCCAAATCACGTTTGGTTTGCATGGTAGGCTACAGACACAATAGTCTTGTTTGCTAGACTGTTGCACTCCACCAGTAGAGCTTGTGTCAGAGATACAGCGGATGTGGGAAGAGATTAACACAATAATAAAAGTGGTCAACTTAAATATATTGATTATATTGATATATAAAACAAAAACAAAAAATAATATTCTAAGTTAGGAATACAAAGAAAAACCTTTCCGAGACAATTCAACAGGTAAGGTAGCCTGTCTTCAAGACTGGGTACCGCTCCCTTGTGGAGTGGGAGAGCTATTACATTAGTGCCTTGTCATCTGTTGCTTTTAGGTAGCCTGTCCAAATCAAATCAAATCAAAATCAATTTTTGTTGGTCACATACACGTATTTAGCAGATGTTATTGAGGGTGTAGCGAAATACTTGTGTTCCTAGCTCCAGCAGTGCAGCAGTATCTAACAATTCACAACAACAGACACAAATCTAAACGTAAAAGAATGGAATTAAGAAATATATAACTATTAGGATGAGCAATGTCGGAGTGGCATTGACTAGAATACAGTAGAATACAGTATATACATGTGAAATAAGTAAACAGTAAGTAAACATAATTAAAGGGACCAGTGTTCCATTATTAAAAGTGTCCAGTGAAGATAGTTCACTCAGGCTGTTTGTTTACCATTGAAAAAATGGTCAGTTCCGGTCTACTTAACAGGGTGTGTCCCAGAGACACCAATGTAATAGCAGCTAGGTCTGATCTACTTAGTTCATTGCCTTTAATTGAACCAGAAAAAAACAGCAAGTGGGGTGTCTCGCTTCCTCTTCTGTCTCTGGCCTGTCATCCTGCAAATGTACATTGTTTGAGCATGACTTATCTCCCAGTTTCCAAGAGTAAAATACATTACATTTGTGCATTTGAATATTTTGGGGGTCCCCCCCCCCACTCCCCAAAAAATTGGTATTATTATAATTTTTTAAATTATTGCACACCTTATGCCGAGTTCACATGCTAGTCAGAACTAGGAAACTCGGAAATGTTGGACTTTCTGATTCGTTGAACTCGGCTTTCGTATAACTACAATCAGTTAGCAAGTCAGATATTTCAGAGTTTCCTAGTGCCGACTAGCACGTGAACGTGGCACCAGAGAGCTATTTATAACTTGTCAGAAATGTCCAGATCAACTAGCACGTCAGCTAACGTTTTTTAGCTAGGTTTATTAGCCCATAGGTAGTAATGTTTGAGTCGCTCAAATATCACGACTATACATTAGACATGGCAGCATTTTTTAGAAAATGAGCTTTAAAAATGTGTAGAATTGCAGGAAATAAGCTTTAAACCTGCAAAATATTCTCTCCGGATGTGAACAGTTTGTGTCATGAACAGTGCTTGTGCCCATAGAAATAGACGTAGCGCGCGCGCGTAGGGGGAAGCGGGCTGGTCCCAAGTGCTGGAAGAGGGGCCTGAGTGATACAGTTTGGGAACCCCTGCATAGATAATTTATATAAGTCAATTTTTCTGGAAAGGAAGTAATGACCTATATTGACCCGGAAGTGGACGCCAAATCTGAACGATTCCATCAGAGGAGTAAAGATGGCGGACAACGGCGGCGCAGATCCTGTTAATAACAACAATAATACAACTGTTGCTTTGGAGGGAACTATTATCAAGGTCACAGTCAAAACCCCAAAAGATAAGGAGGAAATCGCCATCTCGGAAGATGCCTCTGTCACTCAGGTTCGTTCATTTTGTCAATCCGTACTAGCTGGCCAGTGAGCGGCAACTTGCTGCTATGCTACATCATCATCATGACCTGCCCACTTGCCTTGCTTGATTAGCCTGTGTCTGTAAGCATGTTGCTAGCTAGCGAACTAACATTTAAGAATCGGCCAGTGTAGCGATATTTAAAGCTAGCTATTGACTTGACAAGCTATTCACAAACGTTGTTATATTGCTAGCTAGATAATACGGCTCACAACTATTCCTCCGTATAACTGTTTAACTGTTTATGTACCCTCGTTAGCTAGCTAACCGGCTTGCTAGTAAGGTATTCCATAATTACACAGTCAGTAAATTGTGTCGCGTGACTTCTGTATGTTAGTCATGGCAAAAAAATTAATCAGCTTCTATGTAAGTAGCTAACATTAGTTAGGTAAATTGTTAACTAGCTAACATTGGACTAATTTTGTTAGCTACGTGTTAGCTAGTATGCTAGTTTCTTAGCTGTTTCTCCAGAACCTTCTTTGCGCTACGTAGGTAATTAGTCTAGAAACAGTATTCTTCATCAGAATGTAACAGCATCTCATTGTTCTGAATGTCAGGTACTGGACTGTGAATCTCTTCTCCCAATGAATGATAGCTACACTGGTCCCATGTTTCACTTTAATTTGTTTTGGTATGAATCTGTCAGCTAATGCCACTTTTCTTCCTGTCACTCCAGTCCTGATTGATACCCTGAACAGCTAAATAGCCTACAGCTTATTTTACTCCTGTTTAATGTGGATCTCATATGTGTAGTATTCTTGTTGTTAGTTGTAGACTGGGGCCAGGTGTTGAATCACACAGTGTTGTCTTGTATTCAGAGAAATGTGTAGCCTAGCTGTTTCACAGTTGGAATCAGTTCTTTTGAGTAAAGCTTCTCCCATTGTGCAAAGCACAACACCAAGAGTGAGTTGGTATTCGTAATCAGGTAGTAGGATTCCTATAATAGGTTAAGCAATGAGGATTTACCCAGAAACAAGGCTTTATAATTAAAATCAGCTAATTGTTTGACTACGTCTTTTTCTTATTTCCTCGATTTCTCCCTTTCTTTCCTCCCCCCTCTTTCTCTTGCTGTCCATCCATGTCTTTCTCTCTTTCTGCTTCCCCCCCCCTCTCAATTTCAATTTAAGGGGTTTTATTGGCATGGGAAACATGTTTACATTGGCAAAGTGAAATAAACAATGACCTCTCTCTCTCTCTTTCTCCAGTTTAAAGAGGAGATCTCACGGAGGTTCAAAGCCAAGCAGGATCAGTTGGTTCTGATCTTTGCAGGGAAGATACTGAAGGACGGGGACTCTCTCAACCAGCACGGAATAAAGGACGGCCTGACAGTCCATCTGGTCATAAAGACAGCACACAAGTAAGATGATGCAAATTCTCAAAGCGGAATGGACATTGTGTGTTTCAGGAGGATATGTCAGTCTTCTTTGGACATTTGTTTGGCAGGAATGGGAATTGAAATAGGAATTTCTTGATAACATTTTGAAGAGGTGAATAAGCTAAATGTAGTGGAGTTAAGATTGACTCGGGCCATATATGCTTGCTTACTCCACAGCTTGAAGTGTCTCCACTTGCGTCGCTGAATAGCTTTCGGTGGCGCAACTGGTTAGTACGTATTCAAGCGGGCGGTCATGTGTGTTTCCAAACAAGAGTAACACTTGTTGGAGCCGTGGTACAAACAGGGACAGCGAAGGAAGCTATACGGTTAGAAGCACAGTGAAGCTCCCACGGGGGGCCAGTATGAAAAATGTATGCACTCACTAACTGTAAGTCGCTCTGGATAAGAGCGTCTGCTAAATGACTAAAATGTAAAAATGTAAATGTAATACAATATATGGTCAGAATCCATCTGTGTGTGAGCCGATGCGTGTGCACAACAACTTGCATGCATGTATCTCAATGGAAGATTTGTAGGCAGATACCAAGTTGATGTGAATATGTAAACATAACTGATCCATGCATTGTCCCTCCAGGGCAGGAGATGGCGCTAGTTCCTCCACCTCTTCCTCCGGCACCACCCAGGAGGGCAGCAGTAGTGGCAGCTCCTCTGGCCCCAGTTCTGCAGCCCACCCCTCCACCGTAGGGTCCACTGGAGGCCCTGCCTCGGCACCCCCACAGACCCCCAACATACTGAGTGAGTTTGCTAGGCTAAATACACCCACACACATTTATCTATCCACTCCCTCACACACACCCAACAATTTATACAGAAAAAGACAACCATCATCATTACCATCACCGCCTCCTGACCATACCCCTCTCCCTCCCTCCTAGCCGGGTTCGGTGGCCTGTCCAGCCTGGGCAGCATGGGCATGGGCTCAGCTAACTTCATGGAGCTGCAGCAGCAGATGCAGAGCCAGCTGATGTCCAACCCGGAGATGCTGTCCCAGATCATGGAAAACCCCCTGGTGCAGAACATGATGTCCAACCCAGACCTGATGAGGCAGATGATCGTGGCCAACCCCCAGATGCAGCAGCTGATGGAGCGCAACCCCGAGATCTCCCACATGCTCAACAACCCCGAGCTTATGAGACAGGTAAGGGGGTTTGGCCAGAGTGTACTGTGTCACAGACAGCTTGGGATTGGCTGGGGTGTACACAGAAGTTGGGCTTAGTATGTAGCAGGTGCTGTTTTTGCTATCATTATTTTTGAACTGTGGGAAGTCGACTGCTTTGAGTGGCTGATCTTTATGTTTAGCTGCATTCTAAGTTATATTATATAAAGAGGTCTTAGGGGTGGTTTCTCGAACACAGATTAAACACCCTACCCCTCTTGAGTCCCTGTACCCCAGAACCCAGTCTAGCTGATACACTCCTATCAATATTGTCCTGTTTCATACCATCACAAATCCTTAACACCCCTTCCTGTTCCCTTCTCCTCAGACCATGGAGCTGGCCAGGAACCCTGCCATGATGCAGGAAATGATGCGTAACCAGGACCGGGCACTTAGTAACCTGGAGAGCATCCCCGGAGGCTACAATGCCCTGCGCAGGATGTACACAGACATCCAGGAACCCATGTTCAGTGCCGCGCGAGACCAGGTACCCACTATGGCACCAACTGAACTTATTCCTCTTGGTCTTGCTTGTCCCCATTGTTTATTTTGTTAGATGGGGAGTATGAGGGGGAATCCTAACTTCCACATAAGTGAAATGTTCATCAATTGACATCAATGCTGACAAAGTAAAAATGTGGCTTCAGTGGAAATAAGGATTCACTCATTATTGAGCTTTTTTAGCCTCAGAAATGAACTCTAATCTATCCCATGGAGAGTGCTTAACAGAAACTGGTATTCAACATGTTGATAATGACTTATCTCTCTCCTCTCTCACAGTTTGGAAACAACCCTTTCTCAGCCCTGGGGGGCAACTCTGACGGGGGGGTGCAGCCCTCGAGGACAGAGAACCGGGAGCCCCTGCCCAACCCCTGGGGCTCCACCAACCCCTCTGAGGGTGGAGGGGGCACGGGCACCACAGGCACCTCTACCACCAGCAGCACCACCCCCAGTGTGTCCAACCCTCTTGGTGTCAACTCTGCCAGTCTGGGCAACGGTACGGGAATACATAGACAGACTTCCTGTTTAAGAGAATAGCATTCAAGAGATTACTGCAGTTTCATATACTGTAATATCACATGGATGTGAATTCCTAAATACATACATTGGGGAGAACAAGTATTTGATACACTGCTGATTTTGCAGGTTTTCCTACTTACAAAGCATGTAGAGTTCTGTAATTAAAACATTAAAAAATCCAGAAAATCACTGTATGAATTTTAAGTAATTAATTTTCATTTTATTGCATGACATAAGTATTTGATCACCTACCAACGAGTAAGAATTCCGGCTCTCACAGACCTGTTAGCCCTCCTGTTCTCCACTCATTAACTGTATTAACTGCACCTGTTTGAACTCGTTACCTGTATAACAGACACCTGTCCACACACTCAATCAAACAGACTCCAACCTCTCCACAATGGCCAAGACCAGAGAGCTGTGTAAGGACATCAGGGATACAATTGTAGACCTGCACAAGGCTGGGATGGGCTACAGGAAAATAGGCAAGTAGCTTGGTGAGAAGGCAACAACTGTTGGCGCAATTATTAGAAAATGGAAGAAGTTCAAGATGACGGTCAATCAACCTCGGTCTGGGGCTCCATGCAAGAACTCACCTCGTGGGGCATCAATGATCATGAGGAAGGTGAGGGATCAGCCCAGAACTACACGGAAGAACCTGGTCAATGACCTGAAGAGAGCTGGGACCACAGTCTCAAAGAAAACCATTAGTAACACACTACGCCGTCATGGATTAAAATCCTGCAGCACACGCAAGGTCCCCCTGCTCAAGCCAGTGCATGTCCAGGCCCGTCTGAAGTTTGCCAATGACCATCTGGATGATCCAGAGGAGGAATGGGAGAAGGTCATGTGGTCTGATGAGACAAAAATAGAGCTTTTTGGTCTAAACTCCACTCGCCGTGTTTGGAGGAAGAAGAAGGATGAGTACAACCCCAAGAACACCATCCCAACCGTGAAGCATGGAGGTGGAAACATAATTCTTTGGGGATGCTTTTCTGCAAAGGGGACAGGACGACTGCACCGTATTGAGGGGAGGATGGATGGGGCCATGTATCGCGAGATCTTGGCCAACAACCTCCTTCCCTCAGTAAGAGCATTGAAGATGGGTCGTGGCTGGGTCTTCCAGCATGACAACGACCCGAAACACACAGCCAGGGCAACTAAGGAGTGGCTCCGTAAGAAGCATCTCAAGGTCCTGGAGTGGCCTAACCAGTCTCCAGAACTGAACCCAATAGAAAATCTTTGGAGGGAGCTGAAAGTCCATATTGCCCAGCGACAGCCACGAAACCTGAAGGATCTGGAGAAGGTCTGTATGGAGGAGTGGGCCAAAATCCCTGCTGCAGTGTGTGCAAACCTGGTCAAGACCTACAGGAAACGTATGATCTCTGTAATTGCAAACAAAGGTTTCTGTACCAAATATTAAGTTCTGCTTTTCTGATGTATCAAATACTTATGTCATGCAATAAAATGCAAATGAATTACTTAAAAATCGTACAATGTGATTTTCTGGATTTTTGTTTTAGATTCCGTCTCTTACAGTTGAAGTGTACCTATGATAAAAATTACAGAACTCTACATGCTTTGTAAGTAGGAAAACCTGCAAAATCGGCAGTGTATCAAATACTTGTTCTCCCCACTGTACATATAAATCAATGACACCCATACATATATCAAGCTGGGGATTGTAAAAGCACACACCTACACCCACACACCATCAACCTCCCTCCCTCTGTGTGTGTCCCAGGCATGTTCAGCAGTCCAGGCATGCAGAGTCTGATGCAGCAGATCTCGGAGAACCCCCAGCTGATGCAGAACATGCTGTCTGCTCCCTACATGCGCAGTATCATGCAGTCTCTGGCCCAGAACCCAGACATGGCCTCCCAGGTCTGTAGCAGCAGAGTAGTGGGCCCTGGGGATTATCATGGATCATAAAGTCATTGATGCGTCTCAAATGGCACCCTATTCCCTTTAAGGTGCACTACTTTTGACCAGTATTATGCATTATAAAGGGAATAGGGTGCCATTTGGGACGAGGCCAATCTGAACCCATGGGAGGGGTATCTATAGGAATCAGTGGGAATGGGTTGTTTTGTAATTAATTGTAATGAGGACAATAAAGCAGATCTGGGCTGTATTCACAAAGCGTAGGATTGATGATCTATGATCAGTGATGAGCAACGGGCGTCCCGTGGGCTCCCCACCTTTTGTAGGCCCGCGGATCAATCCCCCACCGAACTCAGTCAGGGTCTCAACTTACTGTTGAGCGTTAGAATGGTAGAATACACAAAGTGCAATATTATTGAAATTTGGTTGTGCATCAGCAGTTTTTCCTCTTGTGATGTCAGACACTGACAGTCACTCAATTAGCCCATGTCAGCTAACATTTTTTAGATTGATAAATGAGTCTAGCCAGCTATCTAAACTTGTAGTCATGGTCAAATTACCGGCCAGGGGGCCCCCATTGATTTTGTTAGTCAGTCTCACACTGATATAATTTCTCTCCACCCTATGGCAACATTAGTAGAATTGCAGGAAATTAGCTGTAAAACGGCAAATTTTTCTCTGCCCCATGGCAAAATGAGTGGAATTACAGGAAATGTGTAATAAAATTGCTAAATCTTCTCTCCGCCCCACGGCAAAATGTGTAGAATTGCAGGAAATGTTTTATCTCCGCTGTCAAGAGGGGGGAGGGGGCAACAAAATGTAACTTATGGCCCTCAAAAGGTTATGGCTTCATGTGTGGGTACGCAGACCCGCGAGCCACTGTGGCCCCTCATGATGAGTTCAGATTTTGTGGCCCCCACCCACATCAAAATTGCCCATCCCTGTTCAAGACCATAATGAGTAAGATAACACGGACAGGGGCTGGGATGATCCTAAATCAGCAGTCCTGCTCAGAGCCAAGTTGGACTCCTTGGCAGCTGGACGGAACAGATCCAGCTGGCAGTGCTTTACCTCTAGGTATCTAGAACAGATCCAGCTGGCAGTGCTTTACCTCTAGGTATCTAGAACAGATCCAGCTGGCAGTGCTTTACCTCTAGGTATCTCCATGTAGATAGACAGATGTGAGGAAGAGGGTGAACACTGGGAAAGCAGCAGGCTGCAGCTGGTGAACGACAGGACCCTGACCTTGTCTGTCTTTCTCCATTTCTCTTTCTCTCTCCTGTCTTTCTCCATTTCTCTTTCTTTCTCTCGCCCCCCCCACGCTCTCTCTGTCTCTCTCGCTTTCTGTCTTTGTCACCTTCTGTTTCTCCTCCAGGTGTTGATGAATAACCCCCTGTTTGCTGGAAACCCCCAGCTACAGGAACAGTTCAGGAGCCAGCTGCCCGTCTTCCTGCAGCAGGTACACACACACAGCCGCATTTATCTCAAACTGAGAGAGAGTTGAACCTGTCCCAAGGACCTGATTGGATTGATTGAGACTGGATGGACCCTAAACAGATGATTTGGGGATTGTTTCAGAATGTTAATTGATTAATTGTTAGTTTGAATGTGACTGATGTTGTTTAGATGCAGAACCCAGAGGCTCTTTCTGTGATGACCAACCCCCGGGCCATGCAGGCTCTCCTCCAGATACAACAGGGCCTACAGACACTGCAGACAGAGGCACCGGGACTGATGCCCAGGTACACACTGACTCGTGCACACACACACACACCAGTGTTTTCCACAAGTACATAGAGTAGCCAGCCAAATAGAAAAAGTACCCAGCCAGTCGCCCCTGGCCAGCCAGTCACCCCCAGCTCCTTTTTTGCCCAAGTAGCTCTATTTTGGTGGTCTCTGGTACATTCTAATGTCTTGATTCCATCTGAAATACACAGCTAAATTATTGAATACTTTATTGAGTTTACCTCCCAGATTGGAAAAATAAGTTGTGGTATTGTGTAGAAAGACATGACTTTACAATTTAAATGATGAAAATGTATGAATTCAATGTGTTGTTGTCTAGGTTTAGATATATATGATCAGGACTATTTTCTAAGTAAGAGAGCATTAAACCTTTTTTAACATTTAACCTGTCTTCTCTTGAGATTAAAGTCTTATTTACAGTTTTACTGCAAGATATGAATTGCCACAATGATGTTTGTTCTTCAAATTATGTATTTTATTAAAACAGAACTGAAGTAAATAGCCCACATTGTCTTTAAAAATTATTAAACGTTTAGTGTTTCCAGGTTTTCGCTCTCAAAATCACACTTTTTAAATAGAAAAACACGCAAAATTGGATGTTGTAAATCCACAACCATGCACATACACAGACGGGGGGTTCTCGTTGCCTCTTCAGGAAAGTTGCAGGAAATACGAATCACTGATCCATTATGTTCGTGTCTTATGATAAACTTGCCCAAATGAATTAATTTTCAATATATTTGTTTGATTCCCTACTAAAGGTCAACACATTTTTTTATTTTGTTGAATTCCGTTTTAATACCTGGATTCCGTTAGGGGCCGAAACCTAGGAAATCCTTTGGTGTACTTGTCCCGATGCGACACAATGGACATATAACCACGTTGCATGGTTTATGACTGGCAAAGGGATATAGGAGATCGACTTTATTCAGCCAGTTCGACACCTTTTATAAACTAGTCAACACTTGCTGTTCAGTTGTCAATCAACGCTACTATGCACCACGACTCCACTCGGCTGGCTACGTGAAACACGTGAAATCAAATAAATGAATATGTCAGAAATCAATAATTAGGCTAAGTCGTGGATTTTGACTCATCGTTACCACTTACATACATGGGACTTGCAAATTCACGAGCGCCATGCACTCTCCCTCCGTGTACATACATTTGACTGCAACCAGAGATCTGTATATAATGACGAGATGCTCATGTCTCCGCCCTAACAATTGGAGTCATCCCAAAAGCAGGAAGGCAGGCGACAAGCTTAGGTCCAAAATAAACCCATAGAAACGCATTGGGCTTATTTTGGCTGGAGTGAAACCTCTCGCTTAGCCTCTTCCTCTATGCTGTGTTCCCCTGTCATCAGTCCCTTAGTGACTGACAGGCACCTATCCTATCAATAGATTGCTAGAAGATGCATATTGTTCATTCTAGCGGGAGATGGCTCGACGAACTAGCGAATTGAAACTTTTAAATGAAAAGTAGCCAACTTCATATGAAGTGGAAAATGTAGCCAGCTGAAAATGAGTCTGTAACCGGCTGATTGGCCGACAGCCGGCGCTAATGGAAAACAATGACACACACACCCCAACCACAAGACCTAGAAAAAAAGTGTTGAAATTAGTTGTTTGAGTTGTAGATACCCTGTTACGCAATCTCCCCCTAACTCCTTTGTCTCTCTCAGTTTGGCACCAGGTGGGCTGCCAGGTGGTCTCCCTGGAGGTCTACCAGGGGGACTAGTAGGCGGATTACCAGGTGGAATACCCACAACTCCCCTGTCCACGGGAGGGGGTGTGCCTCCAGAGAACCCCGCCTCTTCGCCGAGTGCCGGGGAAAACCCCGCCCAGCAACTGATGATGCAGCAGATGCTCCAAATGTTTGCAGGAGGGAATTCCTCGGTACATACCACACACATACACATACCTGTCTTCCCTAGTTCTGTTTTACTGTTTGATTGTACTGGTCGATTGATTGATTGATTGATTGATGGTTGGTTGACTGATTGATTGAGTGACTGACTGACTGATTGTGACTGGTCCCCCTACAGAGCCAGAGCCCGGAGGTGCAGTTCCAGCAGCAGCTGGAGCAGCTGAGCGCTATGGGCTTCATCAACCGAGAGGCCAACCTGCAGGCTCTCATCGCTACCGGAGGAGATGTCAACGCTGCCATCGAGAGACTGCTGGGCTCACAGCCCTCATAAAGACACACTCACTCACGATGCATACATCGATACAGACACATGCATACATACCCACTATCCACCTCCGCAGCAAGGGGAAAACGCACATGCAAATACATTGTCTGCAGAGAACCAAGAGAAATGAAATAAACCATCCCAAACCAACACAGACGAGACCCGGTCAGGATATGTACCATTCTAAACGTCCACTGCAACCTCCTGTCAGATCATTCCCTAACCATGGCTCCCCTATCCCCCGGTTTTAGCCACATCCATAGAGCTTTGCTCAGCAAGACCAGACTGACCAGACCAGACCATTTCCTCAACAGAGGGGTGCCCGGTGAAGGGAGGAGGGTGAGCGAGAAGGCACAGATGTGCCTCCCTCTAAACCCTCTCCTAAACAGAAATGCTTTACCCTACCAGATTCACTAATCCCTCTTCCGCTTTAATAAAGCTGAAGGGTTTATTCAATGGGGTGGAGTGTTTGTAGTGCGGCAGATAGAAATGCCTTGCATAGAGCTTTTTATGACGCTTCTTAGCACATTCCAGGGATTTGGTTCCTGTCTATATGTTGCATTTCTAGCTGCAATGTGTTTGTAACCTTCCACCCTTTTGACTGAGCATCTGATCTGCAGGGTAAGGTATATGAAGAGCAGAGAAGGAGAAAACCACAAAACAGAGCTTTGTCAATCTCACGGATATCAGTCGAGCCTGCCCGAAACCCTTTCTATTTATTGCTAAAAGAAAAGATCCCCCACACTTCCCTAAAATAAAATAAAAAATCATTCCAGATAGGATATCTCTATCTCCACTCAGCCGTGAGTTGTTCCCTGAAGGCAGGATTGCTGTGCCTTTTTGTCTTCAACAAACCATTTAACACCAACCACTCTTATCAAATGGATCGATTTGATCAAACCCAGGCTAGTCAAATCAAATGAGTCTGCCGTTGATGGTCTAGATTGACTTCACACACAGGCGTGTCACAAGATTGAGACCTTTGGTAAGATTGAGAAATGTCATGATAATCGTTAATAAAAAAGACAGAAAGGTGTTGTTCTGTGGAAGAAGACACAAAGACAAGACGGACAGATTTCCTTTTCATTTTAATCTGATTCATTATGTATTTTAATTTGACGTGTAAGTAGTACCTAGAGATAATCTGTTTTGTCTCATCATTGAAAAAAGAAAATAAATCTTCCTGGAAAATGTATGAATAAAATATAATGAAAAGAAACTTGCCAATGTTGGTATGGTGTGGCAATGAAGTTCTAGCTTTTTGCTTTTTCTGAGAATCTCAGCATTGTAGTTGTGGTTACCTTGGCAATAGCTTCCATAGCTGTGCTTTGTCTGTTGGCCTCAGCTTAAATCTATCACCCAATTCAACATGTTGGAACTAACCTTTAACAGTACTGTACTACAAAATAAAACAAAGTTGGTCAATAAGAACCCTCTTTCTAAGTGTGTCCATCCTCCTCACTTGTAGTAGGAAAAATATAATTATACCAGGGTTGGGGTCTATTCCATTTTAATTCCAGCTAATTCATGAAGTACACTGAAATTCCAATGCTTTTCAATTAGGAATATGTGGAAATGGAATTTGGCTTACTGTCTGAATTGAACCCAACCCTGAATTATTCTGCAAGTTCCATTCAGCAGTCCACTCAATGTTTTGTCTGCATTACCTAAAAGTTTGGTATCTTAATGGCATTGTTGCAAAAATGAAATGTCTAGAATATTTACTTAATTTTTTTGATCACCTCATGCTGGGAAAGGGACAACTTTTTTTGTTATTCTAAGGTGTTTCCATTGGAATCAATGGCCACCTTTAGATTACTTATTCCGGAAGTAGTGTTTTTTTTAATGTCACGTTCATAGTTTAATAATGCATTTACCTGGTAGCTTGGAGGCTCCTCAGTGTAATAATGTAATTTATCCTCAACAAACGCTAACCTGAGGGGGAACCCAAAACTGATCTTAGATCAGTGTTGTCTAAGGGTCAGTTCATCCTATTCGCCGTAGCACTGCCTCACCGCCATACACTGAAGATGCACCTGTCAGACGAAATAGGCAGACTAAATGAAAAGAGGGGGAGGGACGGTGGAGTCTATATTCTTGTGATGACTGACTGTTCATGCTAGTGGTTCTACCTGTTACACCTGCTCTTATCTCACCTTTCCTCCCTCCCCCTCTGCCTCTCCCATGTGTCAGCTGAGCCACAGAGGGATCGGCAGTAGCAGGGATCGGCTCTCTGTCAAATCTACAGATAAAGGAAGAGGAGTGTTAGCCTAGCCCTAACATTTTCTCTCCTTCATTTTCACCTCTGTTACACCATCTCGCTGTCTTTCTACCCTGGCTCCTTGGGAGAGAAGAGAGTAGCTTGTCTGCTGTTCTCTCTATTTTTCTCTCATTCTGTCCTTCTCCCTGTCCTGGGATCTAATGCAGTAACAGCCCTAGGATATTGACTGAAACAGGTGGAGGAGGAACCTGCCAGGGCTCGACACAGGCACAGTATGGGTGACGAAAGCTACAACTTTGTCTTCAAAGGTGAGTCTTTTGTTTGTCAAATAATCTGATTCTTTAAGGAAACAAATCCCCCATTCTCTGGTTTGTGCACACAGCCTTTGGGCTTAGCCTAGTGGTGCAAAGGTTAGAGTGTGAGAGAGCTGTTTGATCTTTGGTGGTGTTTAATATTTTTAGGGAAGAGAGATGGCAGGGAAAGCAGGAAGTAGCTTCCTGGGCATGGCAAAGAACCCATGTGTCCTTTGACCTAAAAGGATTATATTGACTACTGTAACTTATTTGTAGTTGTAATAGCACTTGTGGATACTAAGGTTGCACAAGGCAAACAGTGTCAAGAGTAATTACTGTATTTTCTCATTCCATTGATTCCATAGAAGTGTCCGCTACGGGCTAGGCATGCACCTCTGACACCAAGTCTGGTGTTGTTGGGTAGAGTAGTGGGTACACGTGATGTGTCAGAATGATGCTAGAGCAGGGTGAAGTGGGGTTGAGAGAAGTAACAGTTCCTTATTCTATTTTATATAGCAGAGAATCATGCTACCTCTACATGGTACAGCTGACAGGTTGGTGGCACTTAATTGGGAAGGTAATGGCTGGAGCAGAATAGATGGAATGGTATCAGCCAACCCATGGTTTCCAGGTGTTTGATGCCATTCCATTTGCTCCGTTCCAGCCATTATTGTGAGCCGTCCTCCCCTCAGCAGCCTCTTGTGCTGCGGTTATATCTGAAACATCTAACATTGCACCTAAGTCATGGTGCTTCTCACCATTGAGAAATGCAGTATTGATATATTACACTTGATAAAATCTCTGTCATCCTTTAGTGGTTCTGATTGGTGAGTCTGGTGTTGGGAAGAGCAACCTGCTGTCACGCTTCACCAAGAATCAGTTTAACCATGACAGCCGCACCACCATCGGAGTGGAATTCAGCACCCGCACTGTTCAGCTGGATACCTTCACCATCAAGGCTCAGATCTGGGACACGGCAGGGCTGGAGAGATACAGAGCCATCACTTCAGCGTGGGTACACACACCGGAACGCATGCACACACACTCCTTGTACACAATACACACACAGGAATACAGAGATCTACAGAGCCAATCACCTCAGTGTGAATATGTACACACAGATATTTGCAAACACAAACACATGTATGCAAACACACCCATATTTATCTGACTCCACTCATCTGATGCTCTCTCTCTCTCTCTCTCTCTCTCTCTCTCTCTGTTTCCAGGTACTACAGAGGGGCAGTGGGGGCTCTGCTGGTGTATGACATCACCAAGCACCTGACCTATGAGAGTGTGGAGCGTTGGCTGAAGGAGCTGTACGATCACGCTGACCCTCACATCCTGGTCATGCTGGTGGGCAACAAGAGTGACCTGGAGACCCTGAGGACCGTGCCCACCGAGGAGGCCAAGGACTTCGCAGGTGATCATTTACTTAATTACCAGTTACTTACTAGTTAATTGAAGTTAATCTTGGTTAACCCAGAACAAAAATCTTGGGTAATTTGGCTAAGCGCAGAATCTGTCCACGAGAGATTAGTTACTAGTTACCTACTAGTTACTGACCAATTATCTGTTACTTACCAGTTAGCAGATAGTTAGTTACCAGTTACCAGTTAGTTAGCAGTTAACTTACTAGTTACTTACCAGTTACCAGGTATTTATCAGTTACCAGTTACTTAGTTACCAGTTAGACAAGTATGCAATATGCAGTCAATGACAGAAAGTGACAAAATATTGCAATATTTTTCATATTGTTTTTCCATATTATAGCATGTCAATTTCTGACGGTAATGTGAAACAAATGACCAGCTTTGCACCAATGAAAAGTAATTCTACGGTTGGTTTTTCACGGCTTGATTGAGTATGATGTACTGAGAATAAACTCAACAAGGTATTCCTTCTCATGCAGAAAAGAAGGGGCTCTTGTTTATGGAGACGTCAGCTCTGGATTCTACCAACGTTGAAGCTGCTTTCCAGGAAGTTCTCACAGGTTCTTATTATGTTGCGCTTGTACTTCATACATTTATTTACAAAACGTTAGACAACACCATGTCATGTGGATCTCTACTATTGTGCTGTGTGCACATTTCTGCTATGCACCTTTTCTGTGATCTGTGTATGCATGACAATGACCACTGTTTGACGTGATCATTTCTGTTACCCCCAGCGATCCACAAGAAGGTGGCCAGTCGAGAGGTGACCCACGGGTCCATCAGTGCCGTGACCCTGTCCAATACTACTGGAACGGCTAGCGAAGTCCAGGAGGAACGCAGGACCTGCTGCAAGAACCTCTGACCGGTTCTGACTGATTCTGACCAGCTCTGACTGGTTCTGATGGTTCTTTCAGGTATTAAAGAGAATCTTCCTACTCGGCCCTCATTCAGAATTAAGGGAATCTATGTTGATGACTACAGGAGGCATAGCCACAGGAAGTAGGGGTGCTGAGGGTGCTGCAGCACCCCCTAAAAATTGTTTTGTAGTGCACTGGGCCTTTGCTAGTCCTGTATTAGCGGACCAATATAAATTATGCCCCCCCCGTCCCCCAATCTGCAAAAAAATCGCAGCACCCCAACCACCGAACATCTTCCCACAGCTATGACAGGAGGGCTGTCCAAACCAAAGACCAGGCAGTCCACAAGACACAGGCCACATCTACACTTTGTCAATAAGTACACTATTGGTGTCACCTATATTCTTCCTGTTCGGCTAAAGGTTGCAGACCACTGAAAATATTTGTGTGGAATGTTTTTTTTTTAATGCTTGTTGTTAAACTTGAGCAAATTATTATCTGCCAAATAAGTCTTGTTGAGGTCTATTTGAAAGGAGGAACTGCGTTCTTTTGGGATATTCATCATGTTCATGTATTGTTTGTAACCAAGATGAAAAAATGGTATGAGGTTTTGTGTTGACTAAATTGGAACACTTGTAAAGGTTTTAACTTAAGTTCATGAAGAGTGTGAGAGTATGGCTCGGAGACTGGTTGGAGACCAAGTAGAAAAGCAACTTGATTCATGAATTTGAAATATTGACGTCTGATATTGCAACAACTATGCACTGTATCTAACCTTTTATAGACATGTATTTTATGACAAACTTATATCATGAATCTTTTTGATAGAAAATTGCTTAAAGATTGCGGAGTTCATTCACTATTACTTTGCTATTCTCCTGCAGAGGGCAGTGCTGTTTTAAATAGATCTATGGTGCCTCCAAATACAGAGTTTAAAGTGATGTCTCCATATCAGATCTGCTATTGATATCTAACTTTACGTCACACATATTTATACAGTAGTTTATGAAACACACACACAGGATTTTCAATCTTATAATAAAACGGCCCTAAATGGATGGCATCATCTACAATTCAATTGAGTCAGTCTGGGTGTGGTGTTTATGTGAGTGTTTGTGTTGGTCATGGCCTATATCATTCTCTCAACACACACACACACACACACACACACACACACACACACACGAACACACACACACACACACACACACACAGTAAGAGTGGACAGCAGTGCAGCCAATGCTCTTCTGTAGAGATGCTTGACAGGTCAGTGCTGTCACATGACAGATGAGAACCCCTGAGGTGGCTGCCTGCCTGCTCCTGGGGCACGTCTACAGCTGACATTACCACGACAACCTCATCACCATTCCAATGGAGTGAGGGATTCCTTCTCACACCCATAGAAAAAAGCCTAAACAAACCTGGTTTTGAATCAAGCATTTTGAGTGTGGGCATGTGAACGTGTATAAAAGTGTCTGTAGCCATAGAGAATGATAGAGTCCTCTAGTGGCCAAAAGGCGTATTAGCAATGGCTGCACCATTGAGGGCTTCCACCATTTTAATGTAGTCAACTGGATGGAACTTCCAACTTCATTGGCTGATTCCTCCTGGTGACCTTGTTGGAGTCATGTCCAACCGGGTCATCAGGAGGGATCAGCCAATCGTGAAAAGGAAATTGACTACTTAAAAATGGAGATGGCCTCAATGGCGCTGCCCATGCTGTCACAGACGCTATAATGGCACAGATACAAAGATGAGTCCTCTATCAATATATGGTCTGTAGCTCATCTGTGGACCATGGTTTAAATTAGGCTTTTTTTTGTAGCTCTGCCAATCTCCACTATTGGTGGTTAGTGACATTCATGACAGATACTGCTCTATCTCTGTCTCACAGATGTGTACAGAGAACCTTTACAGCGTGTGTGTGTGTGTCTCTCAACTGGAAGTGATCATTTGCTACAGTGAAATGATCACATAGGTTTCATTACAATTATTTTATGAACGCAAAATACAGAACTTTCCGCACAGGGCACTAAATGTTTAATAATTTCCTGTGAATTATGATTTTGTTATAGAGAGGGGGAAACATATGGTTTGATAATCGGGGCAGGCTGAGCTGGATGAAGTCCGTAAATCTCCGTTTGCTTCAAATAAAGGTGAGGGAGATCATGAAAAAAAGAACAAGACCTATTGTACGGTGGAGTAGAAAGGGAAAGGTCTCTGGCAGCGTGAGATTTGTTACTCTACTCCGTGCATTTGACCGAATTCCTCAAATGCTTCCCAGATTTTCTTGTCTGACTGCGGTTTGACCCCTAGCTATCGAAGGTAAGTTTGAGAGTGGCCTGAGTGAGCGTGGTAAAAGTGGGATTGAAAACGTCCATGTGATGGCCATTACGCACGAGCCACTTGGCGTGTAGCCCGTAAAACCATGTGTAAACCTCGGGACGCATTCATGGCGATTGGTTGAGTACCACAGAGCCTTTAAAACACCAAGACTGGTCGTATGTCTTCCCGTTTGAGTTTTGACGTGAGTAGTTGCTATCCGTCCACTCCGCTTTACGCTCGATTGGCGTCTGATTCCCTTGTGGGTTTACGATCGTTGCACCACACCTGTGTTTTATCGCGACCCCTACGACCTCTGCATTCATCCTGATCCTTGGCCGCAGAGAGCATGGAACTCTCCCCAAACCCAGCAGGGAATCTATCTAACAGAATCCACCGGTGCCCTGTAAAGTGATGGATGTCAATCTCTCTCTCTCTCTCTCTCTCTCTCTCTCTCTCTCTCTCTCTCTCTCTCTCTCTCTCTCTCTCTCTCTCTCGCTGTCTCTCTCTCTCTCTCGCTGTCTCTCTCTCTCTCTCTCTCTCTCTCTCTGCACTGTGGTGCACTATGACCTAAGTACAAGATGTAATCTGGTGGAGACCCTTCTGGTATCTACAGTATCCCCAGACATAATGCAGCCATCAGGTATCTCTCTAGCCCATCCAGAAGTGTTTACTATAAGGTTAACCGTGAAGTTATGTGCGTATTAGCTGTGTTTATGGTTCATCTGGTGTTACGGTTCAGCCTAGGGACAGACCAGCCTGGTTCCTGAGGTTTGACAGGGAGTTTGGTAAATTTGTCCGCCTGTCTGTAATGTTCAAAGACACACTCTGTGACCGATCGGGTTTCAAACTGGGTCATTGGCAAAGGCATAAGACTGTGTTACCCTGCTGAGCTCTAACGCAATCCCCATTTCACAGGCAAGATTATTTACTCATGGTTCAACTTCAGGCCACAGGGAGTTTCGTCTTATTCCCTCCTATTCCCCTCCCCTCCATACACTCCTACATATGTATGGAGAGCTGACTGGTTGTGCTAGCTCTAATCAGACATGTATTGATCAGACTGGCTGAGACGAGGGCGGAGCAATATGTTTACAATCAAGGAGGTCTAAATATTATCTAGGGCTGTGGTGTGTGTGACTCTTCCTAAAATGTTTGTTCTTGTTCTGCCTCGTTTTGGCTGCCGGTGTCTGAGTGTCCATTTGTGGATACATTTTTGGTAAGGGAAAGGCAAGTGGAAATTACACATTTCAGAAGCTTTTTTAAACCTCAAATACAATACACGTTTTACAAGTTTTCCTGAAACTGGGTGATCAAATTAAGATCCAACATCGGTAGAGATTACTATAGATCTTCCTCTATATACTGCATGGCTACATTCTACTGACAGCTACATGTGTAAGGAACATCAAAGGTTATCGCTCTGTGTTGGACTGTGTAATTTACAGTATACATTATATAGCCTACTGTGTGTGTGTGTGTGTGTGTGTGTGTGTGTGTACCCTGTGTATCGTGTCTACCCACATGTAATGCACCTGTGATGTGGAATCTCATTCCAGGTTCCCCCCGCAGAAGATTTACCATTGGAAAGTCTCCAATGTCTGTGATTGTTGGAAAACACATCCCACATTTCATCGACTAACGTCATCACATAAACACATGCTCTAATGGCCTGCAGATCACCATGGTGATGTTGTTATGGTGACAAATCAGGTGGCTTGAATGATTGTTGACATAGCATTTAAATCCTCTCGACCAGGAGATGTAGAATGGGTCTGGATTACTAGAGGATGTACTGTATATTTGGAAAGAACTTGGAAGTGACCACTTAGAGAACATTGAGTACTTGAAGACTTCTAGAAATACGTTTTTCTATTTTGAGCACCTAGTTAATTGCAATGTGTATATCAAATCAAATTAAATGTTATGGTCGTGTACACATATTTTGCAGATGTTATTGCAGGTGCTGCGAAATGCTTATGTTTCTAGCTCCAACAGTGCAATAATACCTAACAATAAAAAACAATACACACAAATCCACCCCCCAAAAAAATTAAGAAATATCAAAACGAGCAATTTCAGAGTGGAATATAATATATATACTGCACAAAAATTTAAATTTGTTGGTGTGTGTTGGTCCCATGTCTCATGAGCTGAAATAAAAGATCCCAGAAATTGTCCTTACTCACAAAAAGCTTATTTCTCTCAAATTTTGTACACACATTTATTTACATCCCTGTTAATGAGCATCTATCCTTTGCCAAGATAATCCATCCACCTGACAAGAATGGGGACAATAAAAGACCACTCTAAAATGTGCAGTTTTGTCAGACAACACAATGCCACAGATGTCTCAAGTTTTGAGGGAGTGTGCAATTGGCATGCTGACTGCAGGAATGTCCACCAGTTTAATGTTAATTTCTCTACATAAGCCGCCTCCAACATTGTTTTAGAGAATTTGGCAGTACGTCCAACCGGCAACACAACTGCAGACCACGTGTATCCACAACAGCCCAGGACCTCCACATCCGGCTTTTTCACTTGCGGGATCGTCTGAAACCAGCTACCCGGGCAACTGATGAAACTGAGGAGTATTTCTGTAATAAAAGCCCTTTTGTGGGGGAAAAACTCATTCTGATTGGCTGGGCCTGGCACCCCAGTGGGTGGGCCTAGGTCCTCCCAG